CTGTCATAAAGACATTGGCCACCGATGCCTGAGCACCTGGAAACGTACGTTTGCTCTGTTCTTAATTTAGTAACAATAGGGCCAGCTTGGTGTCTCCAGGTGACCCCCGAAGCCCCCAGAGTGAAGTACTGAACCCGAGAAGGGTCACGCAGACCGGAAGCGGAAGTCGCAGACAGGGGGCTGGAACCTGCGTCTTTGACTCCAGAGCCGCGAAAGCCCCGAATTATACCACAGGCAGCCTAAAGTCGGCCTCAGCGGCCACACCGGACGCTCTCTCCTCGTCCTCCGGGGCCGAACACCGGCCTGGGGCGCGCCCCGGGAGGCCAGCAAGGGGCCTCAGGTTAGAGTCCCGCCTCTGCCCCGGCGGCCGCGACGCCCACCGCACACAGCAGGCGCCGACTAAGCAAGCTCGGCACCCAGCGTCCCTCCACGCAAACGCCCCCCGGGTCCCCCGCCGCTCCTCCCGCGGTCCCCACGCGTCTTTCCCCCCAAGCCTCGCGCGAAGCTCGTGCCTGCCGGAAGCGGAAGTCGCCGGAGCCGGAAAGCGGACCGGACTACATTTCCCAGAGTGCCCCGCACCGCGCCGAGCCCGCGGAAACCTGGGTGCCCCTGGGGTGCTGTGGGGTGCTGCCTTTCCTTGGGGGGGGTGTCTTCGTGGGAAACGACTCTGCGAGGGCCTTGGAGGGTGGAGTGTCCAGGTTCCTGAGGCCTGGCTAGCGCCTCGTGACCAGTGAGCCTCAGTTTCCACATCTGTGAATGGGGACGTTAGCCGTTTGAGGCTGTAACGCGTTCACAACCGTTCATATATATTTTCCAAAGCCTCTTGAGTCCTCCCACCTGCCGGGCGCAGGGGTTACCGAAAAGGTCAGGAGACGCTTGTTTTCATGAAATTCAAATTCTACCAAGAGAGGCTGCCTTGATCTTCATGACCAGCATGGTGATCTTTTTAAGAAAGATTTATTTATTTATTTATTTATTTGTTTGTTTATTTATTTATTCTATCTATTTGATTTGTTTATTTTATTTATTTATTTTATTTATTTAACGGAGAGAAAGCACAAGCAGAGGGAGCGGCAGCCAATGGGAGAGGGGGGAAGCAGGTTCCCCATGGAGCAGTGAACCTGACGTGGGGCTGGATCCTGGGATCGAGGGATCCATCCTGGGGTCATGACCTGAGCAGAAAGCAGATACTTAACGGAATGAGCCACTCAGACGCCCCTGAACTGTGTTTGAATGTGCTTTTTAAACAATATCATCAGTGGGCTCCCTGCATGGAGCCGCCTGCTCCCTCTGCCTGTGTCTCTGCTCCTCTCTCTGTGTCTCTCATGAATAAAGAAATAAATAATGTTTAAATGGGGGGTAGGGGCAGGACCCTCGCTTGCTGGGCCTGGAAAATCCCATGAGGTGTCAGATGAGGGAGGCCTCAGCCCTCACCCAGCTGGTGGCCATACTTGGGTACATAACTAAGCGTCTGCACTGACCGTGATTTGGGCACAAAGCTTCCAGAGTTGGAGGTAAAGTCATCAGAGGAAGTGCTCCACCGGCATGCACTGGTGACCCTAGATTGCTGCAGATCCTAACTTGGCATGCACTAGTGACCCTAGATTGCTGCAGATCCTAACTTGGCATGCACTAGTGACCCTAGATTGCTGCAGATCCTAACTTGGCATGCACTGGTGATCCTAGATTGCTGCAGATCCTAACTTTCGGGGAAGGGCAAGAGCTCATATTTCACACAGTACAAAAGGAGACCAGAGTAAAAATTAAGTATCTTCTTCACACTCTTTTTTTTTTTTTTTTTTTTTTATGATAGTCACAGAGAGAGAAAGAGAGAGAGGCAGAGACATAGGCAGATGGAGAAGCAGGCTCCATGCACCGGGAGCCCGATGTGGGATTCGATCCCGGGTCTCCAGGATCACGCCCTGGGCCAAAGGCAGGCGCCAAACCGCTGCGCCACCCAGGGATCCCTCTTCTTCACACTCTTGACCTCCAGCGCAGCTGACCTTCCCAGAAGCAACCATTTGTTCCAGGGTCATCAGAATCTTCACAGAGCTGTTCATGTCTCCTCTGCTGCCATCTGCTCTACCCTCTGTTGCTCCTTGTGTTCCTCTCATCATGTCCTCAGGCAATCAGTCTGTATCTGCACAGAGTCAGGGGCTCAAATTTGACAGGCTGTGGACCTGCTCTTTGCCACCTCCCCGTCCTCGTGTCCTCCCATGCTCTCCCTGTCCCCTGGTTCATGCTGCTCCAGCCACAGAGGCCTCCTTGCAATTTCTTGAACGTGTCTAGCATACTCCTGCCCCAGGGCCTTTGCACTAGCAGTGGCTTCTTTTCCCTCTGTGTGGAATGCTAGGACGCCAGTTATCTCTGTGGCTTATTCCTTTACTCCTTCACATCTTTACGCAATGTTCTCTTCCCAGTGAGGCCTCCCTAACCCTTTCCTCCGATCGTAAACCCTGGACTGTCCTATACCCTTTCAATGCCTTACTTGGTGCCAGAGTACCCATCACTCTTCAACATGCCCCTATTATGTATTTGTTTTGTTTGTTAGGATCTTGTCCCACCTACAGGCAAGCCCCTGAGGGCAGTGACTTGCTTTTGTTCTCTGCTGAACCCTTAGATCTGTATTGGGCCCTAAAGATCTGCTAGTAGAATTAACACAAGGATGATTATAGTGCTGTCTCAAGATCTGCTAGTAGAATTAACACAGGGATGATTATAGTGCTGTCTCAATTTTTTTCTTCTTCCAGCTTTATTGAGATATAATTGACAAGTAACATTGTATAAGTTTAAGATGTACAACGCAATGATTCGATACACATATATATTGTGAAATGATCACCATAATAAGATTAATTAGCACATCTGTCACCTCACATAGTTATCTTCTTTTGAGTGTGGTGAGAACATTTAAGATCTGTTCTTTTATTTTTTAAATTTTTTATACATATTTATTTGACAGAGGGAGAGTGAGCAAGCACAGAAGGAGAGGCAGAGGGAGAAGCGGACTCCTTGTGAGCCAGGAGCCTGACGTGGGGCTCCATCCCATGACCCCGAGACCATGACCTGAGCCAAAGGCAGATGCTTCACTTACTGAGCCACTCAGGTGCCCCCACGATCTGTTCTTAAGTGACTTCCAAGTATACAATACAGTCTTGTTAACTGTATAATCACGATGCTATATAGTAGATCTCCAGACATTATTCATCTTATGACTGAAAGTTTGTAGCCTTTGACCTGTATCTCCGTTCCCACACACACTCCAGCCCCTGGCAACCACCAGTCTACTCCATTTCTATGAATCCAGTTCTTTTAGATTCCCCATATAAGGAACGTCTGGGTGACTCAGCGGTTTGGTACCTGCCTTCGGCCCAGGGCGTGATCCTGGAGTCCTGGGATCGAGTCTCACATCAGGCTCCCTGCATGGAGCCTGCTTCTCCCTCTGCCTGTATCTCTGCCCCTCTCTCTGTGTCTCTCATGAATAAATAAAATCTTTAAAAAAATTTTTTAAAAAATAAAATCTTAAAAAAAAAGACTCCCCGTATACGCGAGATCATACAGTGTTTGTCTTTTTTATTATTATCTTATTTATTTATTCATGAGAGACACAGATTGAGAGAGAGGCACAGACACAGGCAGAGGGAGAAGCAGGCTCCATGCAGGGAGCCCGATGTGGGACTCGATCCCGGGGCCCCCAGGATCACACCCTGAGCCGAAGGCGGCACCAAACTGCTGAGCCACCCAGACTGCCCAGTGTTTGTCTTTACTTCATTCTTTTTCTTCATAAAATGAAATTTGTTTGATCAAAAAAAAAATTTGAGAGAGAGTGCAAGTCGGGGGAGGGGTGAAAGGCAGAAGGAGAGGGAGAAGCAGACTCCCCACCGAGCCAGGAGCGTAGGATGCTGAGATCATGACCTGAGCCAAAATCAAGAGTTGGACGCTTAACCAACTGAGCCACCCAGGCACCCCCCTAAGCAACGTGAATTGCTGAGCCCAAGGGTGTGTGTTGCAGATAACGCCAGATTGCCTGTGGCTACTATTAACTTTAGGAATGTGCTCTGTCCCTGTGCGGCAACACGCCTCTGAGATGTTGGGTGTGGATGGTATGGGTCCCCACTGTCCCCGGGGGTTCCTCAAGGCCGGTGGGCAGGTTTGTGAATTTGTAGGGTAAATGGCTCTGAGGCAGGCGCTCTAGGGTTTGTGCATTTAACAGCCGTCCTGTGCAGGATGAGGCCGATATAGCTCTATCCTTACTTACAAAGACCTCCCAGCCTGATAGGGACACTGGCCTGAAAACAAACCATGTCATACATATAGAGTGGGCAGTGAGTATGTCAGTCAAGGAGGGCATCGTGCAGGAGGCACCTTTTAGCTCCCGTGATGGTTAGCTTTAGATGTCGACTTGACCGGGCCAAGAGATGACCAGGGAGCCGGCAAGACATTATTTGTGGGTGCCTCTGTGAGGGTGCCTCGGGAAGAGATCAGCATTTAATTCCGCAGACTGAGCAAAGAGGATCACACTCCCTAATGGGGGTGGGCATCGTCCACCTGTTGAGAGCTCTAAAAGAGCAGAGAGGCAGAGGGAAGGATGCATTTCCTCTGCCTGCTTGAGCAGAGACAGCAATCTCCTCCCCGTGCTGGTCTGTGCTGGTCTGTGCTGGTCTGTGCTGGTCTGCCAGCACAGGGCAAAGAGGAATACAGGAAGGGGAGGCACAGTGTGTGAGGAAGATAGCTGAAGATGGGGACTTTTTAAGGGTGTATGACACAGGGCCAACCCTGTGCCAGGAAGGAGGGTCGGCAGCAAGGGCAGAGCCTGATTTGGAACTTGGCTCTGGTTCTGGGGCAGAAGGGGCCGGTGGTCCGTGGCAGGTGCTCCCAGGTCTTCAGGACCCCCTTAGGCCTGGGGTCTCACAGTTATTGAAGAAAAGAAGCAGACTTTTATTGGAGGATAGCTCAAAGAAATCATTTATAGGATGCCTTTTGTTTTCAAAGCACAGGTTTTCAAAAAAAAGCAACGTCGAACTTTAATACATGCTCTGGTACACAGGTGTGTGCTGGGGGCTGCCAAGGACACAGGAGTCCTGAGGACCCGGATGCCCTGATGCTCAGTACGCCTCGTCCTTGGCATCATCCTGGGCCTGCTGGCACACCTTCGAGGACTGGGGGGTGGCCGGGCGGCCTGCTGGGGTCGGGGCCAGGTTCACCCAGCCGGGCCCCTGAGGCAGCAGGTGGCTCTCATTGAGCCTGCAGACACGGTAGTTCTCGTAGTGCACGTTGTGGGTGATGTCCTTCAGATCTTGGAGGTGGGAGCTGGGAGACAAGCAGTGGTTGAGCCCCGGCTGCCACAGCAGCCCCCCTGGGGTCCCTGCATGCCACCCCCCCGGCTCCCTGCGCCCTCACCGGATGAGCAGGTCTCTCAGGAGGGGAAACTCACAGTGTGCCATGTTCTCCACTGCAAGACAGGACACAGAGCACTGGCCCTGTCCCCCCTGCCCTGCCCCTGATGAGCACCCAGTCAGTGCCCACTGCATGCTGCGCACCCTCAGGGTCCATCACAACCCTTTCCCCACAATCCCCGCTCTGATCTCACCTCACATTCATTCATTCACTCATTCATTCATTGCTTTGTCCCCAGTGCCTGGAACAGGTGGCTCCCTACCAATAGTTGAGTCAATGATCCACTAATCATTTAGTATTGTACACTTGATAATCACTGTATTACATTATATACCGTATGCATCGTGTATATTATATTCTCTTAGTAATTATATGGATAAGTTGGGGGCTTGAGCCCTGGCTACTCCTCCTTCACTTCCCAGTCTCCCCCTCAGCTCCCTCACGTGGCCCTGTCTCCCACCCCACTTTCTCCCACCTATCACTGTCTCATCAGCTCTATGAGGACAAGAAACTTGTCAGTCCTGCTCTCGGAAACCACATATAGGCTGCCTGGCACATAGTAGGCCCACAGTAAATTCTGGTGAGTGCACAAGGTATCTTCTGGGTGCTGGGCATTGTGCAAAGTGGTGGCCTGCCCTGTCCAAACACTTCCATGTGCAGATGTGTGGTTCATTCACCGCACCAAGGCGACTGGCCATGATATTCCTGTTATCATGATGCCCATTTTACTGCAAGGAAACAGGTGCAAAAAGTTGGGTAACTTATTCGAGGCCTTCCAGCTGCAAAGAGGGACGTGATCCCACGTCTGTCTGTTTCCTGACTGTGGGCTTGCCCACTCTGGGCCCTGTGATGGGTTCTTAGGGCGCCAAAGGCAGTACGATGTGCCTGGCTTTTCACCCCACCCTCACCTACGTTCCCTGCAAGGTCCCTGCACTAACCTTCAATGATGCCCCACTTGGTCTTCCGGCCCAGGACACACTTCCCATTCACCAGGTGCTCTCGGTCAGCCCCAACCACGGCAAAGGGGATCCGGTCCTGCAGGAGGATATGAAACAGAAGGGTTGGCCCTGCCTGGGTGGCGGGGAAAGAAGCCGCTGTGGTGGGGTGGGAGAGGCACACTGTCTTTTGTAGGGAGAGAAAGTGGTAGGAGCAGAGATCTGAAGTCGAAAGACATGGGGCGCCTGGCTGGCTCAGTTGGTGGAGTGTGTGACTCTTGATCTTGGGGTCATGAGTTTGAGCCCATGTTGGGTGTAGAGATGACTCAAAAATAATATCTTTAGGACACCTGGGTGGCTCAGTGATTGAGCATCTGCCTTTGGCTCAGGTTGTGATCCTGGGGTCCTGGGATGGAGTCCCGCATCAGGCTCCCTGTATGGGGCCTGCTTCTCCCTCTGCCTGTGTCTCTGCTCCTCTCTCTGTGTCTCATGAATAAATAAAATCTTTTAAAAATAAAAGTAAAATCTTTTTTTTTTCAATTTATTTATTTATGATAGTCACACACAGAGAGAGAGAGAGGCAGAGACACAGGCAGAGGGAGAAGCAGGCTCCATGCACCAGGAGCCCGATATGGGATTCGATCCCGGGTCTCCAGGATCACGCCCTGGGCCAAAGGCAGGCGCCAAACCGCTGCGCCACTCAGGGATCCCTAAAAATAAAAGTAAAATCTTAAAAAAAATCAAAAGACACCAAATCTGATCAATGGCTCAATTTCCTCATCTGTAAAGTGGGAGTCAGAATAGCATACACAAGGGCTTTGTAAATGTTTGGGAAGGTTACCCTGAATCACATTAATCTTATCATCTTGCTGGTGTCCCATCTCTTACCGGTGAAACAGGAACTGCAATCACCATCATCAGTTTTCATGAGGGTTAAGAGACACAACTTTGTAACCCAGGGCTTGGCAACCTACGGCACATGAGCCAGATCGGGCCCGTGCCCGTTTTCCTGAATGTTGGCACATAGCCTGTCCATTCATTTAGCCTGTCTACACTGCTTTCGTGCTGCCACAGCAGACGGCAGGGATCGTGCAGGGCTGCCTGGCCCACAGAGTCTAACACATTTACCATCCTCTGGCCATTTGAAAAAAAAAAAAAAGTTTGCTGAGCCTTGTTGCAAATTCTAGTTGTTCACTTCACTTGTGGCCAGACTTGGAGACTCACATTCCTAAACCCCAAAGTGCCACCCCGGGTCTGTATTTGTTTCCAAGAATTAATTGGTAACGATGAACAAAGTTGATGCTAACAACAGCAGATATCTATTGTGCGCTTATTATGCATCAGCCTGTAGCAACCCCTCCATGAATGTTAGGCATCTGGATGGTTTTGAGGTGTTGGGTTGGTTTTCCTTGTAGTTCCAGTTCTGTTCCAGCTGTGGCTGGGTGGCTGCCTTCACAGGCCCCAGGACCCAAAAGCAGAAGTTGGTGAAGGTCAAGGCTCTCTGAATGTTTCACAGGAAATTCTGTTTGTTGCACCAGTGGGGACAGGAAAGAGTGAATGTGTGGAGATATTGGGTACCAAATGGGAAGCTGGGCCTCCACGTCCAGATGTGAGGTTTGCTCACTGCACAAAGGCGAATGGCCATGAGGCGGGGTAAGGCTGCAGCACAGGCTAGTAGGATCTACCTGCTGGGGAGGGAGTCAAGGCCTGGGGTCAACGGATGATGAATCCCAGGCCTCACCAGGGTCCTTTGCAGGATACAGACAGAATGACAGTGGATGCACCTCAAGGACAGCAAGGTGGGGGCTTGGAGTTGGAATTTAGTTGATTTGGAGAAAAAGAAGACATTAGCTATTTTTTGCCTCTCTCCTGTCTTGAAACAGCTTTGTTGAGATTAAATTCACGTGCCACAAAACTCACCCTCTCAAGGGTACAGTGGCTTTAAAGGCACAGTTGAGGGGATCCCTGGGTGGCTCAGTGGTTTAGTGCCTGCCTTTGGCCCAGGGCGCGATCCTGGAGTCCTGGGATCGAGTCCCACATTGGGCTCCCGGCATGGAGCCTGCTTCTCCCTCCTCCTGTATCTCTGCCAATCTCTCTCTCTCTCTCTCTCTATGTCTATCATGAATAAATAATCTTTAAAAAAATAAATAAAATAAAGGCACAGTTGACAAGACTGTGCAACCATCACCACCATCTTATTCCAGAGCATTTTCTCTGCCTGGGAATGAAGCCCTATTCTCATGAGCAGTCACTCCCCATCCCCTGCACCCCCACTCCCTCACCCCCCACCCCTGCTTCTGGCAACCGCTAACCTACTTTCTGAATCTATAGGATTTGCCTATTCGGGACACTTCAGAACAGAATCATGTAATATTTATCCTTTTGTCATCCGGCTTCTTTCACTTAGCCTGATATTTTCCACGTCCATTCATGGTGGTAGCACGTTCTCATTCCTTTTGAAGGCTGAAGAATATTCCATTGCGGTGATATAGCAGATAACGTTCATCCACATCGACATGTGCATCATTTCCACTCTTTGACTATCACAGATATTTCTCTCACGGACATCTGTGGACACGTTTTTGGGTAACCATAGGTTTTCCTTTCTCTGGGGAGTGGAACTTCTGCTGGGTACTCTGGTAACTTAGCGGTTAACCTTTGCAGGAACAGCGGGATTATTTTCCAAAGTGGGAGTATTTTGTTTGACACTCCCGCCAGCGGCGCTGTGCAAGTTCAACTTCTCCAGGTCCTCACCAACACGTGGGGTTGCCTGTCCTGTTGATAACAGCCATCCTTGTGGGCATGAAATGGTATCTCATGGTTTGGATTTGTGTTTCTCTTAGGACTGGCGATAGCGAACCAACATCTTTCCACCTGCTTATTGGCCATTTGTTCAATTTCTTTCAGGGAACGTCCATTCAAAACCTTTACCCAGGGGTGCCCGGGTGGCTCTGTTGGTTAAGCATCCAACAAGTGATCTCAGCTCAGCTCCGGGTCTCAGGGTCATGAGTTCAAGCCCTGAACTGGGCTCCACACTGGATGTGGAACCTACATTAAAAGAACAAAAATAAAAAAGAAAAAACAAAACAAAAAAACCACAACCACTTTTGCCCATTTCAAAATTGGGTTATCCTTTGTTGTTGATTTGTAGAAGTTCTTTATATGTTCAGGATACAAGTCCCCATCAGATATATCATTGCAAGCATTTTCTCCCATTCTGTGGGTTGTCAATTTGACCTATTTCTTGCTCACTTTTTAAGTTTGTGGCTATATGGAGAGTCATACCTGCTGGGAGTATGTGAACTCCCCACCACCCCGCCCCAAGCTGTTAGAGAGAGATGAATCTTGAGATGGAAAGGATGAGTGGGAACAACATCACCCAGCCTCAGTCCCATCAGCCTGCCCACCCCACCATGGCCTCCTACCCGGATTTTGCTGTTAAGGATCCGGTCATTGGTGTCTTCATCGAGGGACTTCTGTGGGTACACCTCGATGCAGTGACTCCTCAGGTTGTGCTGGATCTGAGGACGCGGGTGACCTCATCTCATCCTGGGCACTGTGCCTCCTCCTTGCCCCCACCGACCCCATCGCCCTGGGCGCCCAGATCACCCTTTGCCTGAAGGTCTCTCGCTCCTCGATGGTCAGGCTGTCGGCTCGGGCTATCACAGGCACCACGTTCACGGCCCGGCACAACCGCTGTAGGAACTCAATGTCCAAGGGCCGCAGGCTGCTCAGGCAGGGTGGCAGAGGTGGTGGCGGTGGCGGCGAGTGTCTGAGCGAGGGGGTGCCAGCCGCAGCCTGCAGCCCGAGCTGGGGCCTCCTCCTCCTCCTCCCCTCCTCCAGGCAGGTGGCCCTCCCCCAGCTGGCCCTGCCATCTCACCAGTGCCCAGTCGGCGGCACGAAGTACACACAGCAGTGTACCCGGGTGTCGGGGATGTGGCGCTGGCGCGTGATGAGGATCTCCTCTTGCAGGTACCGCTCATACTGTTCATTGATGTAGCCTAGGATGGGGTCCCAGCTGGGGCAGCAGACGGCCGGCTGACCTCAGAACCACCCCTAGGAGCCCCGCCCCAGCCCCTTGCTGGGAAGACTAATCACCCCAGTTGGCCTGGGATGCAGGACTTCTAGTCTTGTACGACCTAAGGCCCTCGGTTTCCCAAGCACCCTCCTCCTACTCCCCTGAATCATCAGAGAGGCCCCTACCATTCTCAAGCTGACGCCTCAGCTTCCTTCTTCCTAAAATGGGATCAGTAAGGGTGCCTACTTTGCAGGGGTGTGGTATTAAAAGAGAAATTGTCACAGCCTGGTTCAAAGCACTGCGGGCGCTCGGCCCCATTGCCACAAGGATGAGTCCTCTCCCTTGGTCCCTTCTTCCCCTGATGGGCTATTGTCAGCACAGCACCCCAAAAGAGCTTTTTAAAAATAGGAGTCAGAGCATATCCCTTTTCTGCTCAGTGGGCAGTGGCTAAAGAAAAGCCGAAGTCCTTACGTGGCACTACCAGGCCCTACATCATCCCGCTGCTGCTTCCTGACTGCCCTCCCCTCTTCCTCTCCCTGTCGCTCACACATGGCCAGCCATACCAGCCTTCTGAGAACAAACGCACCTCAGGGCCTTTGCACATTCTCCTCTGCCTTCAATACTCTCCCCTTGCATGGCCACATGGCTTATTCTCTCATTTCCTGGCAGTCTGCCCAACTGTCTCCTTATTTGGGAGGTCTTCCTTGATCTCTCCGTTTAAAACTGCGATCCCCCTACAGCTCCCTACCCCTTTCACTCTCAGAAACGGTCCCGCTTGGATGATAGAGTTTAGGCTCACGCTGTATATAGCGGATTTCTTGTGTTCGTTGCCCCCCTCCCGGGACGATGTACATTCCATGTAGACAGAGATGTCCGTCTGCCTTGTTCATCGCTGTATCCCCGGTTCTGGAACAGAGCTCGCACACAGTAAGTGCTCTGTGAGGCACTGTGTGCAGGGTTGGCTTCCTGGGAACACAGGCAGAGCAGTCCCACAGAGCTCCGAGCTTAGAGGGGTCTGCACTTGGTTGAATGTTCTGTGGTGGTGGTTTTACAATTCTTAATACTTTTTGAACAAGGGTCTTCACCTTTTTGTCTCACTGGGTCCCCACAGATTATGCGGCCAGTCCTGACTCTGTGTGTGTGTGTGTGTGTGTGTGTGTGTGTGTGTGTGTGTTACTGACCACTCTCACAGGTTTTGGCTCTCATTGAGAGCCTAGAACAACTCTGCAAGATGTGTGCCATCATCCCCAAGTTACAAAGATGGAAACTGAGGCACAGAGAGCTGCCACGAGCATTTCCAGGTTACATAGCTGGAAAGTGGTCGAACCCCGTGGTGCTGACTGGAGTTGGGCTTCTAGTCCCTGCTATCCCGTAGCCTTTACTGAGCACCTACTACATGCCAGGCAGCAAGTGCTGACCTTTGCACATTTAACTCCCCTCAATCTTGGAGGGATGGTTGCACACACCCATTAAACAGACGAACAAACTGAAGCTCAAAGATGCCACAGCCAGGTTAGGTTGTTTCCCAGAGGCCGGGGGGGTGGGGTGGGCGCAGGGCGAGGGACGACCTCGGGCTCGACACCCCACCCCCTTGGGGACCCACCACTTGTCGTTGTTGATCTGGTCTCCGAATCCAGGTGTGTCAGTCACTGTCAGCTTGAGCTTCACGCCTTTCTCCTCGATGACTGTTGGGGGTGGGGGGGAAGCAGAGTGGGAGATATTGGCCAGGGTGAGGTGGGGTGGGGTGGGCAGGAGTGGGTGGGGGTGGAAGCCACTCACTGTGCGTCACGGAATGCAGCTTCAGCGTCTGCGGCGTGGGCGTCCCCAGGTTTGGAATGTTGGACTTCCACACCTTGGACTTGAAGAGGGTGTTCACCATCGTGGACTTGCCCAGCCCGCTCTGTCCTGGGGGTAACCAGAGGACACGCTCTGTCCTGGGGGTAACCAGAGGACAGCCACGGGGGTGGACATCTGAGGCCACGCTTTTCAGGCTCTTACATCATTTTAGAAGGTGAACAGTTTTCTAAGCATCACATACTTACAGAAGAGCGGGTCCCCCACTTTTCAGGGTCCCCCTCAGGGCTTACCCCTCCTTTTCACTGAGGCAAAATTCACACGATAAAAAATTAACCGTTAACCATTTAAAGCCAACAATTCGGGGATCCCTTGGTGGCTCAGTGGTTTAGCGCCTGCCTTCAGCCCAGGGTGTGATCCTGGAGTCCCGGGATCAAGTCCCACATCAGGCTCCCTGCATGGAGCCTGCTTCTCCCTCTGCCTGTGTGTGTGTGTCTCTCTCTGTGTGTCTCTCATGGATAAATAAATAAATAAATAAATAAATAAATAAATAAATAAAATCTTTTTTTTTAATAATAATAAAATCTTTAAAAAATAAATAAAGCCGACAATTCAGTGTTGTTTAGTATAGTTGCAGTGCTGTGCACCCACAAGCTCTGTCAAGCTCCTGTTATAAAGATGACCGCAGACCCCAAATGGCATCACTTAGGCCAAGTCCTCAAACAAAGGCTTAGTTAGCATCTACCCCGCTGCAGTTCCCACCTCCCCCAGAAACACAGTCTTAACTGGTAGCTCAGGAAGTTTGGGGTCAGCACCGTTAATGTCAACTGGGCCTCTGCATCCCTCAAAGGAAGATGAGCTAATCCACCTAAGACCCTCTGCTTGTCTCCTAAGAGAAAGCAACCTTGCCTGGAACAATCTTTCCTTTTGCTAATAACTTCCTTGCCCCCTACCCCCTTATAAAATAACTTCCATGCTGCACAACTCCTTGGAACTCCTCTATTCTTGCTGGATGGGTTGCTGCCCGATTTATGAATCATGTAATAGGGCAGCCCGGGTGGCTCAGCGGTTTAGTGCCGCCTTCAGCCCAGGGCGTGGTCCTGGAGTCCCAGGATGGAGCCTGCTTCTCCCTCTGCCTGTGTCTCTGCCTCTCTCTCTCTCATGAATAAATAAATATTAAAAAGAATCATGTAATAAAGCCAGTTAGATCTTCGAATTTACTAGTTTGAATTAGAAAAAAATATTTTTATTCAGGGCTTGAACTCATGATCCTGAGATCAAGACTTGAGCCAAAAAAAAAAAAAAGACTTGAGCCAAGATCAAGAGTTGAGCACCTGATTGAGCCACCCACGTGCCCCTGAATTTTGTTTTTTAACACACAAAAACATTTGCGTTGACCCCAAAAGAAACCTCATGGTCATCAGCGGTCCCTTCCCATTCTCTCTCCTATTCACTCTATCACCCCTGGCAACCACAGATATGTTTTGTGTTTCTGTAGATTTAAATATTCAGGCCATTTCATATAAATGGAATCATGTGATATTTGTCCTTTTGCTGGGGACGCCTGGGTGGCTCAGTGGTTGAGCTCTGCCTTCGGCTCAGGGTGTGATCCCGGGGTCCTGGGATCGAGACCTACATCGGGCTCCCTGCAGGGAGCCTGCTTCTCCCTCTGCCTGTGTCTCTGCCTCTCTGTGTCTCTCATGAATAAATAAAATCTTTAAAAAAACAATTTGTAAAAAAAAAAAATTGTCCTTTTGTGTCTGGGTGCTTCCACTTAGCATGTTTTCAAGGTTCACTCACATTGTACCAGGCATTGGTGCCTGTTTCTTCTTCATGGCTGAAGAATGTTCCATCGTGTGAACAGACCATGCTGTGTTTATCCATTCATGCTGATGAGCAGCTCAACACATTTCACGAATTATTATTATTATTATTTTTTACAAATTATTATTATTTATTTAAAGATGTATTTATTTATTCATGATAGACATAGAGAGAGAGAGAGGAAGAGACACAGGAGGAGGGAGAAGCAGGCTCCATGCCGGGAGCCTGATGTGGGACTCGATCCCGGGACTCCAGGATTGCGCCCTGGGACAAAGGCAGGCGCTAAACCGCTGCGCCACCCAGGGATTCCCACATTTCACAAATTAAACAGCAGCCTATCAGAGATGGAACACAGAGGTCCCCCCAAGCCCACTCATGCCCCAGCTCTGTAACTATGAGCCCCCACCTCCAGGGACAGTCATTTTCCTGAATTCTGTCAGCAGGGAGTGGTTCTGCTCACCCTCATCCTAGGGAATCACACAGCTCTCTCCTACCTGGCTTCTCTTGCGTGACACTATGTGGTCAGATACCCGGGCTCTCTGTGGTTGTAGATGGTCCACTCTCCCTGCTGTAGGAGCTTCTCAAACTCTGTGGACCACACCTGGCAGGAGGGAGTGGCCTGCCTCATAATGCAGGACACACCTTTGTGTGCGAAACTGACATCAGGGGCTGTGCTGTGCACTACCGGGTGGGAGTGGGGTCACACGTGGTTTCTGCCGTGGCTGCTACGGCAAAGCTCAATTGAGGCGTGCCATCAGTGGAAAATACAAACCAGATTTTGCACACTTGGGTGTGCCAAAGAGAAAGCAAAGGTTCTCATGGACAATTTTTTTATGTGGATGATGACGTGTCACGGTCACGATAGTATTTTGGAATATTCTGGGTTAAATACAATAAATGGTTAAAATTAATGTCTCGGGGATCCCCGGGTGGCTCAGTGGTTTAGCGCCTGCCTTCGGCCCAGGGCGTGATCCTGGAGTCCTGGGATCAAGTCCCACATCAGGCTCCCTGCATGGAGCCTGCTTCTCCCTCTGCCTGTGTCTCTGCCTCTCTGTCTGTCTCTCTCAGGAATAAATAAATAAAATCTTAAAAAAAATAAAATTAAATTAATGTCTCCTGTTCCTCTTCACTTTTTAAAAGGTGGCTCCTGGAAATTTTTATTTTATTTTATTTTATTTTTTTAATAAAGATTTCATTTATTTATTCATGAGAACACACAGAGAGAAGAGAGAGAAGCAGAGGCACAGGCAGAGGGAGAAGCAGGCTCCATGCAAGGAGCCTGATGTGGGACTCAATCCGGGGTCCCCAGGATCACACCCTGGCCTGCAGGCGGCACTAAACCACTGAGCCACCAGGACTGCCCTCCTGGAAATTTTTAAAATTACGTTATATGGCTCCTGTTCTGTTTCTACTGGACAGCACCGCCTCAGAATAATACTCTTCGTTGGTGCTACACACTCTGGCATCTCATGTTCTGTTGTATCTAGTTTATTTTGTGAAAAGAAAGTGTTTTGTTAAGTGAAATTAATTTTGCATCTATAAAAATGCAATTCCAGAGAACCTCCTGAACGCCAGGCTCTGTGCTAAGCCCGATGAGGAGAGGAGACAGAGAGGGGTAAGGAACCCGGCCCCAAGGTCACGCAGTGGTAGGTGTTAAGGGCTGGGACCACGATCTGGGTCTGGGTGTTCACCACTTCCTGCCACAGTCTCCCCTTTTATTGCTCGGTCTGGGTTTGGCTGGGGCTTCACAGGTGATTTTTGTCTTTTAATGCCTCAGCATTTTACAGATTTTCAACTGTGACTGTTATCAGACCCACTTTACAGATGGGAAGAGTGAAGTGACATGCCCAGGCCCCCAAGGTTCCATCCTCTGGTCCTTCCTGTGAGGCCCTACCCCTCACTCACCCACCACCATGATGTTGAACTCAAACCCCATCTTCATGGCCTTGATCTTCAACTGGTCCAGCACAGCTTCGATGCCCACATAATCAAACATCTCGCAGGGTGGGGTCCTGGGGCTGGAGGGTCTTGATGAGCCGGGGGAGGGGGACTGCCTCAGGGGATCCATGGGGCCAAGGGCACAGCAATGCCTGTCATTCAGGTGAGTGGGGAGAAGGGGGTCACTGGAGCTCCAGAGGGGGCCCCCCCTGAATTCTCATCTCTGGACTCTGGCTCCTGAGCTCTGCTTCCGGGCACTGTCACACGTTATACCCTCTGATCTACCCATCCTCCGCGGCTCCGTGGCTCGTGGGCCTTGGTGTGAGGTACCTGGAGGAGCTGCCTTTCAGGGGAGCCTGAACCCCCTCCTGAGATGCACAAGCCCACGCATCTGTTCCTCCCCATCCCCACCCATGGCCCAGGCAGGATCCTTGCTCAGATACTCCCCTCCCTGCACCCCCCGCAGAATGTGGCCAGCCTGGCAAAACCCAGGGTCTGCACCCACGGGGACAGACAGAAAGACAGAAGCAACTTCTGTGTGGCACCTGATGGCCTTGGGTCTCTGTGGGAGCTTCGGGGGGCTGCCCTGTCCTGACTGACGCTGTCCGTGTGGTGAGGGGGAGGCACAGGCTGACAGTTAACTGAAGAATCTGAACTCCACCCCTCTCCCCTCACGGGGGCTGGGGTGGGCTCCTCTCCAGCAGGGAGCTGAGGGCAGGGACAGGTAAGCTCCCCGGGGGTCCTCTCTGAACCTTAGCCTAAATCCTTACAGTGACCCTGGTCGCATGTTACAGAAAGAGCCCAGGGCCTCTGGGCAGTTCCTTTGCCCAAGGTCACCTAACTGGGCCAAGCGGGCTTCAGCTGGTCCCTCTGACTTCCAAACTCATCATATCCCTTAACCCCTCTGTGTGGAGAAGCCAACCTGTGACCCATAGCTGGAAAGCAGAACATCCGTGCATGGTCTTTGGTCCGCCCATTGCTGGTGCCACAGTTTTAAATCGCTAGCATTGAAAAATCAAAAGATTGATTTAGGACATATTTACCCCATGCATAGTCTGTGCTTAACATTGCTCTTGGGGCCCTGGGATGGTAGCTTATTTAATAATCATCCCAGTGCTACGAAGGCAGTGCGGTTACTACCTTCTGTTTACAGAGAGAGCCTGAGCCAGGTGTGCACGGTCACCTAGTGAGGAAAAGGCAGGGTGGGATCTGAGTCCACGTGCTCACCCTCTAACGCTTCTTTTCTTGTTCGCAGGAGCATCTAGATTTCCAGTGTGTCTTATAGAACGTAAGCCCTGGCAATTCTGGGCCTAGCCCATGGCTGATGAGCCCGTTATCTGCCATGAGCTTGCCAGCTTGCCATAGTCCTCACCCCTCCCTAGTGTCCCTGACAAGACATTTCATATTCCACATTCTGCTTACCTAGTTCTTTCCTCACCTGTTTCCTGGCACGGAAGCTGTCCTCGGTCCCAGATGTTGGCAAATATTTTCTTTGAAAGCCCAGATAGTAAAGATGTTGAGCTTTGTGGGTCATAACGTCTCTATTGCCCCTTACCGTCCAGCCCTGCTGTCCTAGTGGGAAAGCAGCCACAGACAGGTAAGGGGTGCGGCTGTGTGTCTGTAAAACTATTCACCAAAGCAGGAGGTGGCTTGCTGTCCCTGCTCTGCCCACTGGAACCCACTAAGTGCGCCCCAACCCACTTACCTCCACCCTCCTGAGCCCTGAACTAGCCTTCTGTCCCTCTCTACCCATGCCCTGCTATCCTCCCCCTCAGCTCCTGCACATTTGATAACAGAGGCTCAAATTTTACCTCCAAGACTTGAAGCTGGGAGTGGGGCTGCCCTGGAACATGCTTCCATTCCCAAAAAGAAATCTCTCAAGCCATGAGTCCACAGCTCTTGAGGGATATAGGAGTCTGGGCTCCTCATCAATGCAGATGAGAATGTGGCAACTAGGGACACAGGGTAACTGGGTGACAGGCATTAATGAAGGCACATGATGCGACGAGCACTGGGTGTTATGAGACTGATGAATCACTGAGCTCTACCTCTGAAACCAGTAATATATGGTATGCTAATTAGTTGAATTTAAATAAATAAAAAAAAGCAAAAGGGAAGGTTATGCATGGATGACCAGACAGTATTGGTGATTTGTGGACTGGCCTTAGGCTGAAGGAGATTCGTCCCCTGGAAATGTCCCCTAAGAAAAAATAAGCCTCTCTGAGGAGAAAACACCCCCCCAACACACACAGCCCCCAAGGCCATTGCATGTGAGTGGTGGTAGGATTCTGAACAATTGGCGAAGAAAAGAAAAAAAAAGCAAGCCTCAGTGAGTGGCCACTAGCATTGCAAGCGGGATGATGATCAGGTTTGCAGAAATCAGGGGTCATCTGCAAGGTGCTCTTGGCCCATGTTGATTGGGAAAAGCCCAGGGTAAAGTGATCTAAGCAGTGCAAGCATGGCAGGTGAGCCAAATGTATACACAGAAGGCTGGAGGCAATCCTACCCACAAACTGGGTGAGTGATACACGGCCAGCCAGTGCATGCTTCTAGAACACCTCATTGGGCCAAGGAAGTGCTTATATGAATTATTCCATTCAGTCTGCCCTGAGAAGGGGCATACTATGTATACACCCATTTTACAGAAGAGGATACTGAGGCACAGAGGGTCAGGGATTGTGCCCCAAGGTCACACACTGGTGGGTGTTCAGGGCTGGGAGCAGGATCCGAGTCTCAGGGGTCTGACCCACCTGAAATACGCCTGGCCATGGCCTCCCCATCATTGCTCTGCTTGGGTTTGAGGGCTCTAATGGTGGTTTTTGTGTTTTAGTGGCTTGGAATTTCCCAGATTTTCTTTCTTTTTTTTTTTTATGATAGTCACACAGAGAGAGAGAGAGAGAGAGAGAGAGAGAGAGAGAGAAAGAGAGAGAGGCAGAGACACAGGCAGAGGGATAAGCAGGCTCCATGCACCGGGAGCCCGACGTGGGATTCGATCCCGGGTCTCCAGGATCGTGCCCTGGGCCAAAGGCAGGCGCCAAACCACTGTGCCACCCAGGGATCCCCGCCAGATTTTCTTTAATGAGGAAGTTTCGCCTCCCCCTCCCCACCAGGGGAGAGTCTTACTTTCATAATGGGAATGAAAAACAAGAAATAAGGCACCCAGGGGTCTGGACAGAAAGGCTGAGAGTCAGCAGGGAGAGGAGCAGACTGAGGGCCTCCTGCCCACTCAGCCAGGCCAAGTGGTGGGGGACGGGGCCACAGTTGAGAACCCCATCCCTCTTTTTAAAACATTTTTTAAATTATTTTTTTTAAATATTTTATTCATGAGAGACACAGAGACAGAGAGAGAGAGAGAGAGAGAGAGAGAGAGAGAGAGAGGCAGAGACACAGGCAGAGGGAGGAGCAGGCTCCATGCAGGGAGCCCGATGTGGGACTCGATCCCGGAACTGAAGTATCACGCCTTGGGCCAAAGGCAGGTGCTCAACCACTGAGCCACCCAGGTGTCCCCACATGTAACTTTTAAAGGAACTACCTGACTGCTCTTCACAGTGGTGGGATCCCCATTTTTGCAATAACACTCCAGTTGTTTCGAAACTACCCTGTCTCTGCAACGGGGATCTGAGATCTTAGAATGGGACGGAGGCATTGTAAGGTATGAGAAGGGGACCCAGGACAGGAGACCCTACAATATGGTGGTCAAGGGCTCTGGGATCTGAATGCCTGGGTCGTAGTTCCGGCTTCTCTGGCCACTCTGGGTACAGTTGGCAGCATCATGGCCCCGCAAAGATGTTTTCATCCTAATCCCTGGAACCTTGAGCAAATATGTTACCTTATGCTGCAAAAGGACTTTGTGGATGTCACTAAGGATTCTGATGGCGAGATCATCCTGTGGGCCAATGTAATCACAGGGGTCCTTTTAAGAGAGGACATGAGGATGGAAGCAGAGACTGGAATGAATAAAGGAATGTGTGTGGCCACAAGAAGCTAGAAAAGGCAAGAAATGGATTGTCCCCTAGAGCCTTCAGAAGGAACACAGCCCCACCAACCTGTTTTACCTTCTGACCTCCAGGACCCTAAGACAATAAATTTGGATTAAGTCACTATGTGTGGGGTAGTATGTTGCAGCAGCAATAGGAAAGGAGTACATTAGGTGTGTGACTTGGGTTGATTGCCAAACTTCTGAAGGCTGTACTTTTCATACCGGGAAGTGGGAAGAACAGTAATAGTCACATGAGGGTTACCGCAAGGACAAGTCCGGTAAAGCACGTCTAGTGTTTGGTGCGGGGCCTAACACTAGCTGATTGGTTCTCCCCGGCTACACCACAAGCACAGGAAATTTGTCCACCTAGTTTCTGGCCAACCTCAAGTGCTGAGCCGTCTCTGGCCCTGGTGGGCCTGGACGCATTTATGTCAAAGGGAGAGTGAAAACTGCCCTTCCGGTCAAGGTCAGGGCCCCAGGCCCCAGGTTCCAGGGGTAGGGGTAGGGGAAGAGCTCCTTTGAGAAGATAACCATTTTCTCCTAAGGATTATGGTGAGGAATAGAATAGGGAAAACAAGGACGCTAAAGACTCCTAGTATTCCCCACTTGGCCAGGAAGGGGAGGTGGAATGGAAACCACATACCCCTCCCCACCCTCCCTCCAGTCTTCACTCATGAAGTCCACAGCACCCCAGTGCACACTGTGTTCCAGGCTGCTTGGTTTGGTCTATTGAGAAAAAAGTGAAAAATCCCCAAATAAGAGGCTTTCGGGTCCGTGGCTACCTCCCTGGGTCACACAGCACCTGCTGCTGTTGGGAGGTTGTAAGCACACCTGCTAGAGCACAGGCCCCGCCCTTTGGAGTCCGCCACTCCCCCCCCCCCACCGTGGGAAGGGTGGGACTGGTTGCCAAGGAGCAAGGGCCTCGGGTGGCAACTATCACGGATCAGGAAGGAGGAAGTAGTTGGTGTTCTCAGGACCTGGGACCTGCCTGACTGGGGGAGCTCCGAGGCTGGGGGGTGAGGCCTCTGGGGGGAGCGGGAGGAGACAGGGTAGGGGCCGAGGGGCAGTGTGGGAGGGAGCAGGGGCAGGGCAGGGGCTGGCCTGGGGGAGGCCTGGATGTGGCACAGCCCCAGAGAACAGGGTTCTGAGGTGCCCCTGGGGGGCTGGGGCAGGTGGCATCCAGAGGCCTGGAGCTGAGATGGATTTGGCGGAAGACCTGGGGAAGGAGCTGGAGACCACAGCCCAGGAAGTGCTGGGAAAACTGAGGAGCCATACGCTGTTCCAGTCCAAGTGGGACACCGCTGCCCTCATCATCTTCCTCATCTTCCTTGGTGAGTGTGGCCTTGGCCTCTGGCCCCCGTCAGCCTCCTGTCCTAGACCTGGCTGAGGGCCATACCTGGACACCTGTCCCACCTCCGGACACCTGTCCCACCTCCAGGCACCGTGTTGCTCTTTCTGCTGCTTGTTTGTATCCACTGCTGCTGCTATAGCTGCTGCAGCCGCCGTGTCTCCAGACCCCAGAAGGTGAGCTCCAAGCAAGTGAGCCCCACTGGCCCCCCCCAGGCTGGGCAGGCGTCAGGGGCGGCCTGGAACTGCACTGGGGAGAGGAGGGTGCCGGGGCTCCTGCGGAGAGGGGCTGGCGGGGCACACACCGCATGCCTCTCTTGCAGGTACACCCCAGGGGAGTGGATAACTTGGCCCTGGAGCCTTAACACAGCGAGCCCCCAGCCCCCCTGCCCATGGGTCCTGCTAGGCAGCAGTGACAACGCCTTGTTTGCCCAGCCGGAGTCTGCAGTGTGTTTCGAGCTTCCCGGCCAGGGGCGGGCAGTGTGGGCACTCCCTGCTTTATCCAGATGCCCACCTGCTCCCTCACAGCTCTCGGCCAGCAGGACTGTTCCCAGACCTCAAGTAACCTGCTCCAGGTCACACAGCAGCTGCTGACAGGAGGGGAAGCTGGGCCCCATCCAAGTCAGGGACCGGAACTCCCAGACTGAAACCTCATCCCCCTGTCCACTCAGCTCCTTGGCAGCCTGGAGGACCCCTTGAAAGGTGGCACGGTGAGGCCAGGGGCTCAGTCATTGGGTATCCCACCCAGCTGCCAACTATCAGGGATACCCAGCCTGGGCCCCACTCACTCAGAAGGACGGACAGACAGACAGACAGACGCTCCAGGTAAAGTCAGATGATCTTTATTTCCTGGAGGCCTTGTCGGGGATGTGGAGCAAATAAATGCGAGGGCGCCACAGCTCATTGTGGGCAGTTTCCATCTGCCCTCCCGGCTCACAGCTTAGGGCCACCACCCTCTCCTCACCCTCCATGGGCTGCCTCTCATCATCTTGGGGCAGCTCAGAAGGCAGGAAAAGGATGGGGAAGGAAAGCCCTGGGCCTGGCCCCACCCTGGGTCCAAAGGTTGCCACTGTGCAAGGAAGGCAGGGTTTGGAATGTGGGCCACCTCTGGGCTCTGCCTCCCTGACCGCCCACCTTCCCGACCCCCCGCTCCCACCCCTGCAAAATGAAAAGCAAGCCAGCATCCCTGTCTTTCAGCGTTTCCAGTGTTCATTTCCATTTGTGCAAATGTGATGGACAGGATGGGGCAAAGAGGGAAATAAATAGCCCATGCTGCCCGGTTCTGGCTCTGGCCAACATTCCTGGGGGGACAGGGGAGGGAGACAAGGGCCATTTCCCTGGGGGTCAGGCTCTTGGGTGTTCTGCTCAGAAAGGCCTGTAGCTCCAGTAGCTGGAGAACACAGAGATCTGGGGAAAGGAGAGAGGTGGGGGGACATGGTGAGTGGCGGTGCTAGGGGGCTCAGCCCCTGCTGTACCCTGTAACCCAGGCGAGACTTCAAGATCATTCAAGGGCACTATGTCACGGAAAGGGTATTGATGCTCAGCAACACTGTGGCACATCTGCATGGTGTGCACGAAGAGCACAATGGACCTTAAGATTTTGGGTGCTTCGGAGGTATGACAAGAGCCCTTGGAATCCCTCCGAAACAAAAAGGCTTAGTAGCCTGCTACCTGGCTGGCCCAACCTGTCTGAGAGGCCCACCCCGACCCTGCAGTCCCCACGGCCCACCTTATCCTTGAGTTGCTGGCAGAGCTGCAGGGAGACAGTGAAGAAGACTAGGGCATCGTTGAGCCATGGGATCACACACTCCACCTTGTGCACGTGGCTCACCTCCAGACGCTGGGAGCCCCATTCACTGGGGGGAGAAGGAGGGTCCCTGGGGGTGGCCCGACCAGCCTGGCCCCCCAGCCCCCAAGATGCAGAAGGTTGTGGTGGGCGGGGTTCTCCAGGGCAACATACTTACAACATGGCCCCAGGGCTGTGGAGCACGGCGCCTCCAGCTGGGCGGAAGTTCTAAGCAGAAGAGACCAGACTGGGTCAGGCCGAAGAGGCTGCAAGGCACTTGGGGGTGGGGGGGCAAGTGGGGTCCCCCTCACCTTGGTGGAATTGGGCTGCAGGGCGTGCAGCTGGTACACGGTGAGGCAGAGCTTGTTGAGGTTGATGTAGACGTTGACAAGCAGGTCGGAGGGCAGGGCAGGGGCAAACATCCGCTGGAGACAAGATAGGATGAGGGCCAGGCAGTCACAGCTTCCCCAGAACCACCTAGGGAACCCCATCCCCGGCCCCTGGACTGGAGCTTCCAGACTCTTCCCAGGTGCCCCGAGTAGCTTCCTACACCAGGCTTGGGAACCATTGACCCAGACCAAGGGTCTTTGGGGGATGCAAGATGGAACCCAAGGACCTTATTCCAGAGAACTGCATAGACCTAGGAACTCAGACTGACAACAGTTTGGGGTTTCCAGGACCCCATCGTACCCATGTCCCTCCCAGGGGCAAGCTGGGCTCTTCAGTGGGAAGTCCCTCTCCTGGAGCAGCGGCTGGCCTAAGGTACTCACTGTGAGGCCACTGGCAGCGATCTCAGGCAGAGTAAGGGTGGCTGGGGTGGTGAGGCGGTTGCGGGCTCTGGTCAGCTGCAGCATCACAGCATCCATCAGCTGTGGGGAGGGGGCCGGTCACAGGTGCTGTGAGGGCAGCCCCCACGTCCCACACCGGGGAGTGACAAAGTCACGGTGGCTCCCAGCTCCTGCCCTTGGTGATGACAGTCTTGAGGCCTGAATCTCCCCAGTGTGAGACTTGTTAAAGTTGCAGATATTTGGGCTCCAGCTGCAGGGGCAGGGCAGGACGTCTGCACCGTTGACCCTCCATCCAGGAGGTTTTATTGCATGGGATCCTGGGTGCTGGCCGAATGGGGAATGGAAGATCCCTGGAGTTAGTCTCAAGGGCATGAAGGCTTTGTGGATGAGGGTGCAGGCAAAGAAGGAGCCAGGAAAGGCTTCCTGGAGAAGACAATGGGATGGCTAAGTTGAGGTCTTAAGGTGGACACTAGCCCTATTTTCACAGGTGAAGCTCCAAAGAGGTAAGGTCACATGGCTAGTAGACAGTGGAACCATTTAAAACTCTTCTTTTGGGATCCCTGGGTGGCGCAGCGGTTTGGCGCCTGCCTTTGGCCCAGGGCGCGATCCTGGAGACCTGGGATCAAATCCCACGTCAGGCTCCCGGTGCGTGGAGCCTGCTTCTCCCTCTGCCTGTGTCTCTGCCTCTCTCTCTCTCTCTGTGTGACTATCATAAAATAAAAAAAAAAAAACAAAAAAAAAAACTCTTCTTTTACCACGGACCAACGCTCTGGCTTAGACTCCGTAGAGCCCCAATTTTCACTGATTCCAGTTGTTGCCATGGGGATGGGGGTGACCAGGAAAGGGGAGGTGTGGGGGCTGCACTCCCTACACCCGGGGTGGTCACAGTTCTGGGGGGGACCTTAGTCCACCTGGTTCTAAGTTTTCATATGAAGACCCAGAGGTCCAAAGAGGGTAGGTGAGTCACCTGAAGATACCTAGCAAGTCAGGGACAGAGCTAAAGCATGAATTTGGGGCACATAAGCTCAGCTCTTCCCACCACACCCTGTGAATTCACTTTGCTAATTACAAGGGTTTCTCTATGCCCAGTAGTACTACTAGCAGCTGTTGTTCACTGAGCATTTGTCAGCGGCTACTTCACCTGCATCGTCACATCTGATAGTCACTACACGAAGGTCCCTTTTTATAGGTGAGGAGGCACAGTTGGGCTAAGCCAGTGACCTGAAATTGCACAGCTTACAGTGGAAGCCTTGAGATCAGAACCCAGGTCTGAGTCTGGAACCTGGGCTGTGAATCATCTGACTGTGGCTGGACGGACATGTGTACACTGAAGGGTGATAGGTCAATCATCAGCTGTATCTGAGGATGTAGGGGCAGAGCTCTCCAGGGGCCTGGTCCGGGGTCAGGGCCGGGGGTGGGGGGTGTGCCCCCCTGTCCCCTCCAGCAGCTCACCTTGAGGACCTCTGCTCCTGTCCTGAACTGGTAGCTTTCATCCCGGTTGGCAAGGAGGTACATAGCCTGGCTTACGTGGTTCCTGGCATCCTGGATCTGAAAACAGTGCCCACCAAGAGGTCAGCGGGTGGGGACTCAGGAAGATGAGATGCCAACGTCAGAGCAGCCACGGTCTCCGGGGCTCTAGAGGACAGGCCCTCACCTGAGGGGCCATCCTCCTTGGAGGGGTGGGGTGGCTACCGCCTGCCTGACCCATCCCTACCAGCTATCAGCTCTGGGCCCTCCAAAAGCCAGGTCCTGACTGGGTGCTAAACATAACGGCACAGACCGTGACAGGCTTGCTGTTACACAGCTCACCTTCTAAAAGAGAACAGATGGCAGCAGAGTAAAGGCACAAGATAACAACATACTGAGTGACTTGCACAAAGAGGGTGAGTCTGCAGGACGGTGTGTGTGTGGGGGCTCTTTTCACCCAAGTGATGAGAAAAGCAGGGAGAGAGGGCTCCAAGGCAAAGGCCCTGGGGCAAAGACCAGCTGGTCCAGCGAGGGGGGAAGGGGCAGGTTCCAACCACACAGGAGTGGATAGGGAGCATGGATGTGGCCCCCAGGAGGCTCTGGGAAGGGGACAAGGACCCCCATGGTTCCTATGGGGGTCCAGGGGCCTAAAGACAGGATAGGTTTTCCACCTCCCACAAGCCGCAGCACTCTCTGCCCCAGCTCTGCTGCTAGGAAACAGCCTCCCAGGCTTGCTGCGGCCTGAAATCCCCCAGGGCTGCCCCAGGAGGCCTCTGTGCTGCTCGGGCCTGCCCCTGCCTGCCCTTGTGGCTTGAGCCTTGGCCGGGGAAGGGCCCAATTACCTGCTGCAGCTTCCACTGCTTGTCCTCTCGGAAGGCAAAGTGCAGCAACTGGTTGTTCCGCGGGATCTTCAGGTTCACGTCCTGACGGGCAAGAGTGTATAAGCAGAAGGACGCCCTCCTGCTTTCGGCCACCCCAAGCCTTGGAGCAGGGGGCAGAGACAGGTGTGTGTGCTCAGGTCCTGGCCATTCCACGGGGCAGGAGGTCTGGCCATTTGGGATGTGCACAGGGAGGTCAGGAAACAGGAACTCAGGCTCCAGAGAAACCACAAAGAAATGAAAGGGAAAAGAGAAAGGGAAGGTGGCTTTGGCCGGGGAGAGGTGTGACTGTGGGCAGACAGGACCCATGGGTCCAGGCCAATGGACTGGAAGAGAGGCACCTTCCCCCACATCTTGGCGCCTGGCACGGACGGGAGCTCAGATGTTGGCGGATTCCACTTTGAATTGGGGCCAGCCTAATCCAGCCATTGCCCACGCTTCACTGGGCCCAGACTCAGGGCTGGGCTGTGTGCAAAGCATCCTCCTTCCTGTCCCTCTCATTGAAGCCACACGCCAATTCCATGAGGAGGTTTGGTGGGGTGGGTTGTTATTTTACAAATGAGGAAACTGAGGCCCGGAGAGGTCAAGATCCTGCCCAGGGTCACAGAGCCAACTGGTGGCAGAGCTCAGCAGGAAGCCCCCATACTCTTCCCCCCTGGATCCTATAGCAGCAGGGAAAGGGAAAGAGGGCGAGGGGACTCACCGCCTGGCTCAGTGCGTCCCCTTGCAGAGTCAGCACGCCCTTCACCTGGTCTGTGCTGCAACACGCGGGGGTCAGAGCACTGCTTGTGGCCGCCTTCTGCCACCACCTAGCCCTCCCCACAGGCTGCCCCTGGCTGTCACAGGATGGCCCAGCTGGTCCCACAGCACATGTGCACCCTCTGGATGTTGGGCCTCTCCTGGAGAGCATCCCAGGTGTCACCCCTCTCGTTTCTGCTCAGCCCTGGCTCACCTACAACTGCCAAGGATGAAGTTCTCCTGCTTGGCAGGCCCCTCGGTGCCGGTACCAGAGCTCGGCAGAGTGAAGCGGAGAGAGGCCTCCTGCAGGGACAGAGGGGAGTAGGGTAAAGTTCACCCAAGCTGGCTCACCACCCACCCCTTCCAGAAGCCCCGTTCCTGGGTTGGCCAGGGGAAAGAACAAGGTGGGCTAGTTTCACCCCAACACCCTATCCAAGCCTCCGGGGCACCTTCCCTGTTTCCCCAGCCCCTCCCCCGCCACCTGAATTTCAGGTCCTACCAGAGCAGATAGCTGTTCCTTCCACATTCCCTGAACACCCACCTCCTGCCCAACTCAGGGACATAGGACAGAGATGGCCTCCTGGCTGGGGAGCAGAGTCAGGGAACGACGCTAGTCGTGGCAACTTGCAGTTCTGGCCATAACAGGCAATACCTGGGCATTTCTAGGAGTTGGCTTATCCTCACCACAGCCCCGTGAGGCCGGTACTGTGACCTCGTTCTTGCGAAAGGGAGGCCCCGAGACATTGAGTAAGATGCTGGAGACCTTGAGACCACAGCTCCAAAGGAAGCCTTCCTCGACCCCAACGGCGACCCCGACCGCCTGGCCCGGGGCTCATTCCGCCCCCCCCCCCCACCGCAAACACAGCTGCCTGTGGTTAGGTGGGCAACTACGCACCGGGGCCCGACCGGCGCCGGGTGCCCGGGGCAGGGCCTGCTGTGCCCGCTGCGCGTCGCGGCCCCGGCCGGCGCTCGGGGGCGGGGGGCGGGGGGGGGGAGCCTTACCTTGAGGATGTCCTGCAGCTGCCTGAGCACCGCGTGCACCTCGTCGTGCAGCAGCCAGCGGAACTCCTCCTCCTGCGGGGACAGCCCGGCCGTCAGCCGCCCGCCGCCCCCCGGAGCCCCCGCCGCCCGCCCGCGCGCCTCACCAGCACCGCCCGCTCTGCCGCCGTCGCTGCCATCGCCGTCGCCATCGCCGCCGCCCGCCCGAGGCGGGGTCCACCCGCCGTGAGTGCGCCCGCGGCGCCCGGGCCCAGCCCCTCCCCCGCCGCCGACTGGCCGAGCGGTCGCCCAGGGTCAGGCTGCCTGCGGCGTGGGGCCGCCGCTGCCACCCGCCTCGGAGCTGCGCGAGGGGCGCCGCCTCCACCTCAGCTTTCCGACGCGGGCGGTGGCCGCTTGCCCGCCCCTCCCCGGCTCTGATAGGGCGCCCTGCTCCGCTCGCGCTCACTGATTGGCCGGCGGGGGCCCGGCTTTCACCGTCCCTGGCGATTGGCCGGCGGGGCAGCCTGTCCCCGCCCGGCCTCGCCCTCCGCGCGCCGGCCGGCAGTCCCAGCGCGGCCCCCACCCGCGCGGCGCTCGAGTCTGGGCGCAGGCGGTGCTCACTGCCCAGGTAGTCAGTCACAGTTGTGTTACCAAGAAACGTTTTATTTTGCTTGCAGTAGCTTTTTGTTAATTGCACAAAATCATTTTTTTTTGCCATTTAAACATTATCACACAATCCTATTCTGAAAGACAAATGTTCATTAAAAACAAAGCAAAAATAAAAATTCACAACCTTAATTACCTAGAAGATTTTTGTCATTTAAAGGTTTAAAGGAAAAAAAAAAAAGGTTCGCGGAACAGGGGCTTTCTTACAAGCTTTTTCACAAGTGTCACATTTTCTCCTAAAAGGGAAGGATTTCAAAACAAAGGTGAAATAGCTTAAACAGAAATACTCATAAAAAGAAACTTTACAGAATTGTCAACAATATTAAGACAACATTGACTAACCAGTTTCATTACAGCATCTCCCCCACCCCCCACCCCCCCCAGTGTCCAGCTAGGACTAGAACAGGCTTTGTGTTCAGACAGAAAAAAATTCCAAATCCCAGTGAAGTTATGCCAAAAACCTGCAGGCATCTTCCCTGCCCTCCCCCTAGCCTGGATTTCTGATCAGTGGGAAAGGGCCATGGTTGTGAGGGGAAGAGGCCCACACCAGTGTGGTCTCATTCTATATATTCACTAGAAATGCTGACCTGCAAAGTGTGACTTTGGAAAATGCAACCCATGGAAGAGGGAGAACGTTGACATCCTTCAGGTGACTTCTCCTTGTTTTTATGCCACATTTGAAGCCGGTCTGGTCCCCTATCCAAGGAGAAATGTTAGGGTCTCAAGGACGTCTTAGCTCCAACCTCCTAGGATCAGACAGTTCAGGTTGGGTCAGGCCCAGTTCTCTTCCCTCCCCAAAGACCCTGGGGCTCTGGAAGCATCGAAGACCATGCTTCTGGTTGAAGTGAAGACACTCGTTCCGGTTTCAAGAGCTGAGCCTAAGAAATGGCCGTCGTTGGTCAGGCTGGGTCTGGGCCAAAGGACAGACAGAAAGAAACACTGTCTCCATGAGAAGAGGAGGAGCAAGGGAGAATGAAGAGGTGGGCAGGTGGGGAACATGTACAGGAGCAGGCTGGAGAGAGTGGGACTGCTGTGAAGGGATCCAGTCACAGTGGCTCTTCAGAACCAGGTGGAAGTCTGCAGCATAACGGGGAAACAGGAAGGAACCCCTCTCTCCTCCCTCTTCACTCCTCCCTGGTGGCCCTCAGGATCCCCTTCCCAAGGGCTGGAATGCAAATCCAAATACTAAAAGAGCCTGGTGAGGAGTGAGCTCCACCTCCACCAAAGCAAGGAAGTCTGATCCCAGCCCAAGGCTCTGCAGTGACGGTGACTTCTGGGACAGGTGCTCAACAGCGGTGAGAACAGGATTCTGTGAGGCTCACCTAACATGCTGGCAATTTGCTGCTCTCCCCAGAGAGCCAGAGCCCTGTGTTTCTCAACTTTGTCAATTTCTTTTCAGTTCACAAAGGCATTTATGGAGAGTTGGTTGCACACTGGTAGCTTAAACATGACAGTCCTCATCAGCTGGTCACCTGAGGTTGGAGGGCCCACGAGGACCCTGTTTGGAGTCGGTGCTGGCTCATCTTGGCCCAGAGCCTCTCTCTCGCGCAGGGGATGTGGACATAACCACAGCCTCTTTGCTCTGAGGGAAGGAAGCAGTGGAAAGGCTTCCAGTTCTCACTGTTGATTCTAGTTCCTCGACTGGAAAGGGTCTGAGATAAGACAAGCTCAGAAGGAAAAAAAAAAAAAAGCCAGGCAGCAGTTTCTGGGCAGCTTCTATCCTGGGGCAAGAGCCAGTGTGTGGTGTGTAGAGGGTGTGGTGTGGGGTGTGTGTGTGTGTGTGTGTGAACACACAGCCACCTAGTCCGGGGCCAGTGCCCAGCTCAAGAGCTTTCCCAAAGGCCAATCCTGCTGACACCCCTCCCCTCCCCAGGACCTCCAGGGGAGGAGTGACGCTGTGTGCTGTGCTGATGGCAAGTCTCAAAGTCTGTATAAAAGGAGATGGAGACAGGTGGACTGGTCCAGATTAAGTCCCAGAACCCCAACCCCATGTGAGGAGGAGGGGTCAGAGGGAAGATTGGGGGGCAGGGGTAGGGTATTGAGGGCTTAGTGTATATAGGCTCGGTACACCGCAGACATGTCGTTGTCAGACTGGTCCAGTGCCTTGGCTCTTTTGTATACCTGGAAAAAAAGGAGATGATGGGCTCAGTCTCTGGCCACAGAGCTGACTTAAAGACACAATCTGCTTCTTGGAGGTAGTTCTAGATGTGGTCAGGCAGGCAGACTCTGGAGTCCAGGCTGTCTGGGTGCAACTCCTGGCCGCCCCTTAGTAATTATAATCATGCCCCTCCTGCCTCTAGGGTCTTCCTGTGTTTTTCTTTAGATGGTTATGCATGCTGTTCCCTCTGCAGGGGATGCCTTTTCCTCCGCATGGCTGGCTCCTTCCCAGTCAGCTCCCAGGCCTTCCCTGACCAGCTATCTGAAGCAGTGGCTATACCACTTTATCCTCGTCACCTTTTCTTACTCTATTTTACTCATAATTCTGATCTTCAGAGATTGTTTAAAATCTATCTGCTTATCTTGTGCTTCCTTCCATTAAAGTGTCAGCTCCACAAGGAAGGGAACAAGTTGTCCCTCCACATGTCCCCAGAGCCTAGAATGTGCTTGGCAGCCGAGAGCCACTCCAGAGCCACTAGGTGAATATTGTGAATGAGTGTGAAGAGAATTAGAAAGCCATTCAACAAGGGCAGTGTGGTGTCCAGGCCCACTGAGGAAATGCAGCTGAACACAAGGTTCCCTCCACATAGTCAGCTGTTGAAGCCTCCATAATGGAGTGTCCATTACAGCTTAAGTGTAGTTGTCAACTCAAAATGAAGGCTAAATAAAGACCTTTTCAGAGAAAAGAAAACTAATCGTTGCCAGCAGACCTGCATTATAGGGAATGTTCTTCTAGCTGAAAGGAAAAAAATACCAGAGAGAAATTCAAATTTTCAGAAAAGAATGGAGAACAGTGGAAATGGTAAATTAGAGAAATATAAAATTAATTTTTCTCTCAATTAAAAAAAATACACATGACTATTTAAAACATTCTAACATTGACTGGTAGGTTTGAAACAAAGGCAGATGTAACACACAGGATATCTGTACCCTAAAACAGGGTTTTCTCTTGGGGCACCTGGGTGATTCAGTCAGTGACTCAGAGTGTTAGACTCTTGATTTTGGCTCAGGTCATGATCTCAGGGTCGTGGGATCAAGCCCCATTTGGGCTCCGTGCTCAGTGTGGAATCTGCTTGTCCTTCTCCCTCTCCTCTGCTCCTCCCCTCCCCTGACTTGTGCACATGCGCGCTCTCTCTCAAAATAAATTAAAAAAAAATTTAAAAAAATCCAACAATCCAAGGGCTTCTTAACCTGGGGTTATTCTGCCCCATGGGACATGTGGCAATGTCTACAGACCTCTTCTCAACTGAGGGGGTGCTGCTGGCCTCTAGCGGGTAGAGGAGAAAGGGATGCTGTTCAATATCCTGCAATGCATAGGACGGTTCCCACAACAAAATGCCAATAGTGCCCAGGCTGAGAAACCTTGCCTTAAAGGGGGAGGGAGGCTGGGAGAAGGAATGGATCTATGTTTTATGTGACGAGGTATAATATTAACTCTAAGCAGGCTGTGAGTTAAGGATACTGCATATCCTTGCACATTGCAATCCACAGAGCAAAGGTAAAAGAGAAACAATGCATTATTAAAAAGACAATAGATAAAATGAAATGCTAAAAAATATTCAAATAATCTAAAAGACAATAGAAAAAGAGGGACAGACAAAAGCCAGAAGGGACAAACAGCAATCAAATGATAAAACAGTAGCTCCAAATCCAATCACACATCAATAGACTTTAAGACAAAGACTAAACGTCGTTGGACTAGTTAACCGTAAGATCCTGAACACTGAACTCCAACAAGGAGCCTAAATTCACATCCTCCAAATGGCCAGAAAGCACCACGCTCCACTGAGAAATTAACCAAAATGTGTTTTCAAGCCAACAAATCCTGTAGAGTCAGGGCAGAGCCAAGTTAGAAATCACCTCACAGAGAAAGCTGCCAACACAAGTCACATGCATAGAACCCTTCAGAAGTAACTTCAGATAAAGACAATAAGCAAAAAATTTATATACAAAATACACAGAAGTCCACTGCTAAGAGAGAATCCAAGGCAAAACCAACAGGAGGATCCTGAAACTATACTGCAATCTGAAAAAGTGAAGTGAAGTTCTCTGAAATGTTCAGGCAGACAAGGAAGGGACAGGAGATTATACACCATGAAAAGTCAGGTCTGAAAAGAGCAGAACTGTGGTTTTACTTCTTTGTTGGAACAAGCCATTTGAGACTTCTATTTAACTTGAATGAAAATGTTTATCCTCAAAAAAAAAAAAAAAAAAGAAAAGAAAATGTTTATCCTCTTATAGTTGTTGGAAGATACAGCCTCTAAAATAAATGAATTTATGTATTTTGTATATGTGTTTTACACAAAATATGTATGGTTTTTATTTTAACTCTACAGTAAAGAAGTACTGATTTTTTTTTTTTTAATTTTTAAAATTTATTTATTCATGGAAGACACAGAGAGACAGAGAGGTAGAGACACAGGCAGAGGGAGAAGCAGGCTCCATGCCGGGAGCCCGACGTGGGACCCGATCCTGGGACTCCAGGATCACCCCCTGAGCCAAAGGCAGGCGCCCAACTGCTGTTGCTCTGTTTTTTTTTAAGGCTACCCTTCTATCAGGTGGAGAAACCTGACCTTCTAAACAACTGTTTTGCCCCTGACTGGCTCAGTCCATAGATTACACATGCAACTCTTGATCTCAGGGTCATGAGTTCAAGCCCCATGTCATGTGTACAGATTAGTTAAATACACTTATTAAAACAAATAAACCTCTCCCCACCAAAACCCAACTGTTTTCAAAAAGTGTGTATGTAAGCATTTTGTTGCCACTCAAACAATAATAATGACCAAACACTCCAATTAATAGGCAGATACTGTCAGAATGGATAAAAATGCAACCCCAATGACAGACTATATAGGAAAGACACAATTTAAAGACACAAGTTGAAAGTAAACGACTGGAAAAAGATATACCATGGAAACAGGAGCAGCTCTTGTAAAACCAGGCAATAGGCTTCAAGACAAAGATTAGGAGGGATATTTCATAATAATAAAAGGGTAAATTTATCAGGAAGACATGACCATCACATATGGCTAAGGACTCAATCATATGAGTTTCAAAGATAATAGAATTAAAAGGAAAAACAGACATGAGATAATCAAAGTTGGAGATTTTAGTATCCCTCTTTCAGCAACTGAAAGAACCAGAGAAAAAGGCCAGTAAAGATGATCTGAGAAAACATTACCAATCTTGACCTAACTGGTATCTGCAGAACACAGCACCCAATAACTGCAGAACAGAACCTTCCTAAGTGCACATGGCACATCCACCAAGACAGACCAGCTGCTGGGCCACAACGAAAGTCAATAAATTTAGAGTTAAAAATCTCACACAGGATGTTTTTTATTTATTTTTATTTTTAAAAGTTAAAGAAGAAAATATTTTATTTATTCAAGAGAGAAGAGCGTGCATTAGAGAGAGCAAGCATGAATAGCAGGCAGAGGAAGAGGGAGAAGCAGGCTCCCCACTGAGCAGGGAGCCCAACTCAGGTCTTGATCCCAGAACCCTGGGATCATGACCCAAGTCCAAGGTAGACACTTCACTGACTGAGCTATCCAGGCACTCCCAGGATATGTTTTTTAACAACAGAGATACATTAGTAATCAATAACCATTAGATTGGTAGGGCAACTCCAATTCCCTGACACACTTTTAAGCCGCAGGTCAAAGAAATCACAAGGGAAGTAAGCATGGCTCAGAAGGAAATAGATGCTTTTAAATGCTCCTGTCTAGAATCAATGACCTGAGCTACCACCTCAAAGGGTGAGACACAAAGCAAAGAGGGGAGGAATAGTAAAAGCAAAGGGAAGGCTGCCAGATGGTGCCCGGCCTCTTATAGTTACCTCATTGGCTGCAGCTGCCATAGGAGTAGGATGGTTGACAGCATCTCCCAGGGCAATGGCTAAGCGGAGATCCTTCTGAATATACTTCAGGTAGAAATCAGGCTTAAAGTTCCCTTGCAGGATATCTAAAGAGGGGAAGCCACATATCAGAAGAATTAAATGAATTCTAAGAAACTATCTGCTATACTGTCAGGGCTCAATAACTAGCATTTCTTCCCTTCTGGACACTGAAGAGACTGGTTCCCAGCAAGTGGCCCCAAATCCCACCCACCATGTCTCTGGACCCCTTCTGACAGAGGGCATGGGCTGATTAGCCCAGTGAATACCCAGTGAACCCTTGAAGAAGAGAATGCTCTGTGACAGCTACCTGACCCAGTTTCACAGTTCTAATCACAACTTAAATGCAAGAAGAGAGGCCAAAGGCAACTCACTTTGGCACTTCTGGTCCAGGAAGATGCTGGCCAACTGTCCCTGATTGAGGATGTCCAAGAGTGTCTGCTGGGACTGGCCTGTCACTTGGGCCAGGGTTAACCCTTCAGCAATGGTGGCCATGAAGCTTCCCTGTACCATGTTCACGATCAACATCATCTTGGCTGCGTTGCCAACCTCACCTGGCCAGAGTAGAGAATCATGGTCACTTCCCAAGAATTCTGAGGGCAGGGACTTTCTGCCCACCCTCATCCCTGCTCGGACCCACCTCTACACCCAGGGGAGGCCCCATTCACCTGCCCCTGACAGAACTGGCTCTGACCCTTCGGGCTCTTCCTCCTTCCAGGCACTGACTGTGCAAAGTCAAAGGAAACCTTCCCACGGGGGCCCCAGGCAGAGAGGCCGTGCGGGATTGACGCTGTCATCAGTGCAGTCTAGAGGGGATGTGGCCCACCCAGCCTCCAGGCCTGCAGTGGCCCGAGAGGTGGGCAGGCATGTTACCTAGAAAGAAGGAGGTCTTTCCCATTGCCTGGAAGCAGCTGCTGCAGTCCTCATACAAGCCCCTGTCTCCGGCTGCTAAGATCACCAGCATCCCATCATTAGACAGCTGCTGATTCCCTGAGACTGGGGCTTCCAGAAAGCGCCCCCCCCTGGACACAATCACCTGGAAAGGAAAGTCATAGTTTCTGAAGGCCTTGCCTGTCACAGGGATTCCAAGTCGGAACACCTGGCCTTTCACAGTGAGGCCCCAAACAGATGTCTGAATCACATGCAGTACACGGAGTTGCGGGGTCTCCCTATGGATTCCCACTGACTTGGGATTTCTTTCAATGACCAAACATGACCATGCCAATGGCCTGTGGACCACACCTCCTCCAGACACTGCTCTTCCCCGACTTCAGCCACTCTTAGAACACTCGGGGGCCATAAGTCACTACCTCCTCACTGGGTCCAGCAGCTCAGGGGGAAGCATATTGTCAACTGTAGATGGTTGCTTAAACCAAAAAGGCCCTGCTAGCAGTCTGGACTGCTTCTCACTGAGGGGCTGGTAGATACAGGATCTGATGTCCAGCCCAGCCGGGTAGCTCTCAAGGCTGTTCAGACTAGCTGTGGCTTTGAAAGCAGAGTAAAGAGAGGCTAGTCCCAAGGCTACAGGTTTCTCATCCCCTTCTGGCTTTGTTTCTAGAGTAACCGAGTTGCCTACACTCAGGCATAATCAGCAAGGATGCTGGAGGACCAGCATGAACGAGGCCACTACCTGGGCCAGCTCGGTGACTGTGTCAGCATCCACTGTTGACATGTCCACGTAGCACTTCCCAGGGCGGATCCCTTGCAGCACACCACTGGGGCCCAGCACCAGCTGTAGGGACACAAGGGAGAAGCAATAGCCCAGGCTCCCAGCCAGACACCCAGGGGCCCCTGAGACCTAAGGTCAGAATCTTATTGCTTTCTTGGCTCATTTCTTGATTAGGAACTAAATATTAAGGCTGAAAGGGGGCAGCAAGTAAATAAGCTTAAGAGAATAATACCTCTAGTATGTTCCCATTTATCTTTGAAAAAAAGAAGTGTGCTTTTTTACTAAAACCTCAGTATTTTCTTAGGCTTCTTTAGATTTACTTGGATTAAATCAGTTGCCAGTTTAACAAGAGGACTACTGTACCTGAACTTTTAAAAGATACAAATATAGCCATAGCTAAACCTAGGATCTTCGCACATGAACCAAGTAAGAGTACACAGGGATGGTCAGCATAGATCTCAGGGGGTTTGTTTTCATTCTTTATTCTGAATTAAAGGACATCTGTATTTAATTTATGCAAATACCTTTCACAATGGGGGATGGCCCCAGATGGGAAATACAACATGCTATAGACACTCACTCATGGTCAGGGGACAAGGGGGGAGGCCAGCCAGCTTTCCCGGCCACAATCTGAGACACTGAGGGGAGGGAGGGGATCCTTACGTCCTTGGCTGCCTTTGGATCTGACACACAGGCAAAGGTGATGTCACAAGTTGAAACGACTTCAGCGGGGGTTCTTCCTAGGCGGGCCCCCTCCTGGATGAACAAATCACACTGCAAAAGTCACAGATCCTAATGTGAGCTGTAGGCAGTGCACAACAAACACACCAGCCAGGCCAGAGATACGCTGCACAGTCCTCCTGGCTGGCCTCTCAAGGCGAGAGGCTGAGGCTAGGAGCCAGGACACCAGAGCTGGTGGTCCGACTTTCTGAGGGAAGTGAATGGGGCTCCTTAAGGACCGTCTTGTGTTTTTTCATACCTGGTGCCTAGAATGATGTTCTACTTCACAGTAAACACAAAACAAGTGTCTGCTGAAGGTTTCTTGTTTAAAGAACAGGATGTAAACAGTATGTGTTCACAGCCCTCTGTGCTCTCTTGGCTGTGGCAAAACCTGCCCAGTGTTCTGGGCTATCTACACTGTGCTGGGGAAGCGGGGCTGGGGCTGGGAAGCTGGCATTCCTTACCAGCATGGTTCTGGGGGTCTAAAAGCATTAAATTTTCTTTGAGAATTAAAATTACCCAGAACATCTCATAACAAAACATCATTAATATTTCAGTATAATTCCTTTTCCAAGGTGTTTAAAAAAGTAATTAAAATAATGTGAACCTACTATTTTGTATCTGACTTTGGTATTGTGTGATTTACATTCACCCATACAGTAGTCTTTCATAAATATTGTTTATAATGTTTGTGTTTAATATAGTACTTATAATATTTATAATATTCCATTGATATACACCTGAATTTACCTAATGGCTCTCTTGCAGTTAGATATCTATCTGCTTTTAATTATAAATGACTCCAACAAATGACTTCACATACAGTACTTTTATGTATTAAATTTAGGTCTCTGAAAGTAGAATAAAACAGTTTCCAAACAGTTTTAAAGTTTTTTTTTTTAAAGATTTTATTTATCTATTCATGACACACACACACACACACACACACACACACACACACAAGCAGAGGCAGAAGGAGAAGCAGGCTCCCTGCAGGGACTCGATCCTGAGACCCCAGGATCACACCCTGAGCCAAAGGCAGAAGCTCAACCACTGAGCCACTGAGGCATCCCTAGTTTTAAAGTTCTAAATAAATGTAGACAGATAACTTTCCAATGGAGCTGCATTAATTTATAATGATCATCATCAGCAAGGCCTCAAATCACCAGCACTGAGTATATCATTTAAAAACAAGCAAGCACCCATAAAAAACATAAAAATTTTGTCCTATTTGATGATTTAACCAGCCAAAACCAACATCATCTTATTTGATGTATTTTGATTACTCTTGATTACTGAATCTTTTAAATGTAATACCTTTGCTTATTATTTTTTTTATAACCTTGGAATTATCAATGTGTTTAATAAAATCAATATATCATCCTTTCCCTATTACATGTGCCATAAGCACTTTCAGTTGGTGTACCTTTCAATCTACGGGAATTTTAGTAGGTGGTAGAAAGTGAGATCAGTACTTCCTTGAATTTTTTTTTTTTAAGATTGATTGATTGATTGATTGATTTATTTATTTATTTATGAGGGGGGGGGGTGCAGAGACACAGGAGGAGGGAGAAGCAGGCTCCATGCCGGGAGATGGGACTTGATCCCGGGACTCCAGGATCGCGCCCTGGGCTAAAGGCAGGCGCTAAACCCCTGAGCCACCCAGCGATCCCTGATTGATTGATTGATTTCCTTCCTTCCTTGAATTTCTAATCAGTTGTCCTGAATACAACTTACTGATCTTTCTCCTATCTCACTGATTTGCAGGGAGCCACCTCTATCAGAGGAAGTCCTAGTTGTCCAGTCTACTCAATGGGTGTGAGCCTTTATCATAGTTCATGTGCACCTTAGCCTTTTAGGTTTTAAACTTTGCTTGGGAGAGATCTCATTACCTTTTTTTTTTTTTTGAAAAGGTGCAAATGTGTTTCCCATTTACTATTCCAGAAGAACCAGGGAATAATTTTCTACTGAGATTCTTTAAAAAAAAATTACATGGGGATTGTCAAAGAATTACATGTTTTTTTTTTTTTTTTCCTTGAGAGAGTGCCAGAGTGAATGAGTGGAAGGGGGTGGTTCACAGAGGGAGAGGGAGAGAGAATCTTAAGCAACGTCTACGTTCAGCATGGAGCCCGACGTGGGGCTTAATCTCATGACCTGAGCCAAAACCAATAAACAGATGCTTTATTGACGGAGCCACCCAGGCACCCATTACATGGCTTTTTAAAGACGACACTTACTAAATGTGCTAATAAGCACAGTGCCAAGTACATCACCTCATTTAATCTTTTGCCTTTTTTTTTTTTTTTTTAGATTTGAGAGAGCGAGCGAACAAGCATGAGCAGTAGGGGCAGAGGGAGAGGGAGAGAGTGTCTTAAGCAGACTCCATGTTGAGCACAGAGATGTGGGGCTCGATCCCAGGATTCTGAGATCATGACCTAACTGAAACCGAGTTGCCGCTTAACCGACTGCGCCACCCACATGCCTCTAAACTCTTGTTTTTGCTGTCATCATTTTACAGATGAGAACTCTTGAGGCTTAGGAAGGTAAACAGTTTTGCTGGAGAGGGTGAGCAAGACAGCTGTGACTTGGATTTAGGTCTGATTCCAAACCCAGGTTTATAATTGCTTTGTTCTGCTTTCCCATAAATTAACTTGGAAAGAATGGCCATGTTTATATAACATATAGGATTGCCAATCAAGATACAGGCTGACCAGAGGCACTTCTACCAAAGGGGAATATACTTATAAGGGAAACCTTATGACTCTCTCAGCTTCTGCAACTGTACATGTCTGTATTTCCTGGTTACTGTGCCTTGAAGCACAACCTATCCTGCTGATGGGACCGGAGATCTCACTCCTGCCTTAGGTACTCAATGCTCAGGAGCTGAAGCCCAAGCCCTTTAGCATAGTCTTCAGTGCCCTTTCCCCATCAACCCATTCCCTGTTACTCTTAAACAGACCTTTGTTTCACTAGGATGAATTTTTTTTTTTTTAATCTTGCCAAGACATTTCTGTTAATTCAAACCCATGAGCCCTGCCACCTCCTTCAGCAACCACTCTCCTTTCAGCTGTACCTAGCTGCACAAGGGGTGCTCACCTAGTCACTTCATAAGCACATGCTCAGCCATGCCTGCCCCCCAACAGGCTGGTCCTTCCTCAATCTCTTTCTGTGCTCCTGGTGAGTATAGAGCTTTAGTTTCTTGGTACTCAGACTGCTGTGCTTCACCTTTTTTGTGATGGGAACTTGATGGGAGGAGCCATGGCCTCTCTCTCTTACAAGGTGCACATTCGGACTTGGAGTTCCATTTCAGGGCATGCACAGACCCTTGAAGTGGTGGACCACCACATTAGGTTAAGAACTTCAAAGTAAAAAAATAAATAAATAAAGTAAGAAAGAAAAAAGAATTTCTAAGCCTGTCCTGAACACTCAGGTTGCTAGTAGCCACGGGGGACTATTTACATTTCAGTGAAATAAAATTAAGAAGTCAATTCTTCAGTTATACTAGTCATGATTCAAGTGCTGAGGACCACATGTGGCTAGTGGCTACACCCTGGACAGTGCAGATGCTGGACATCACCACCACTGTGGAATGCTCTACTGCAATCTCAATGACAGGACACACTGCAGCCATTAAAAAGGGAGAAGCAAATCTATCTCTACATACTGTTGATGAAATACTAATATACACACACATATACTTGCATACACCAGGAAAAAAAGGAGGATAAAAACACCCAATGTAAGTTATCTCAGTTAATGGCAGGGAAGGAGGAATTTTCACTTCATTTTGTATGTTTTTTAATGTTTATTTTTTTTATAACAACATTCTATGCTTAGAGACTCTTAACTATAGAGAACAAACTAAGAGCTGATGAAGGAAAATGGGCAGGGGTTGGGCTAAATGGGTGACGTGTATTAAAAAATTTTTTTTTAAATTTTTGTTTATTTATGATAGAGAGAGAGAGAGAGAGAGAGAGAGAGACAGGCAGAGGGAGAAGCAGGCTCCATGTACCAGGAGCCCGACGTGGGATTCGATCCCAGGTCCCAAGGATCGCGCCCTGGGCCAAAGGCAGGCGCTAAACCGCTGCGCCACCCAGGGATCCTGGGTGATGTGTATTAAGGAGGACTCTTGTGTTGAGCATTGGGTAATATATAAATGATGAATCACTAAATTCTACATCTGGAACCAATTTTGCCATCTATGTTAACTAAGCTAGAATTAAGTAAAAAGTTGAAATACAAAAACAAAAAACAAACATCCTGCGGCACCTGGGTGGCTCAGTTGATTAAGCATCTGCCTTCAGCTCAGGTCATGATCCCAGGGTCCTGGGACTGAGTCCCAAAGCAGGGAGCCTGCTTCTCCCTCCTTTCTGCCACTTCCCCTGCTTGTGCTCTGTCAAATAAGTAAATAAAATCTTAGAAACATAAAACATCCTAAGCTTATATACCTATACCTTTACCTGCCTGAACTAAGAACCTGGCTTCCTAGTCTATGCATGCAGAACACTGAGCAGAAACAACAGGAAGATTACTATCCTTAAGTCACTCCAACTCCAAGGTTAAGGCTCCGTCCCACCCTGCTTGACAAGCACCACCATGAATGCTTACTTTTTCTGCAGTCCGGTTCCAGACAGTCACTGTGTGACCCATTTTTAGTAAGTTGGAGACGATGCCACTTCCCATGAGGCCAAGGCCCAAAAATCCTATCCTGAAAAAGAGAGATACTGATGGGTTCAGGGTGGGGGCCTCATCCACCAGAAACTCCAGTCAGCAGCTGAAAGCACTACTGCAGAGCCAGCAGCAGTGTGTGCACATCGTGCCTTTTCTCATTATGCCACTGGTTAGAAATGTTCCTCAATTTAAATGGGCTTTTCTAAACCTTTGCCTGCTACAGAAAGCAGTGTGCCTCATATGGTTTAGGGTAAGTCTTCCAACTTGTTCCCTTATTGCTTTGATTGAGTGTCTGAGCCTATAATTCCATTACAGCAAGAGAGGAGGCATTTGTCTTTGGCTCTTGCAGCAGTTTCCTGATCGGTTGCCCCAAATGCCAAGCTTTCAGATGCCACTTTAAAGCACATCAGAATCCATGACAAGTAACTGAAGCAATGTGTTTACAGCCAGCCAACTTCTCCAGCTGTAGAAATCAGGATCACAGTCTTCATCTCCCTTCCCAGTTCTACACCTGATACTACCTTTGTGTTCTTCCTGCTGTCAGCAGAAATGGGCCTTGACCCTCTTCAAAGCCTGAGTCATCTCCTCCTGCCTTCTCCTGAACCTGTCACTGCTCTCCACTGGCCTGTCTGCTGTTCTCCACCATGCCCTTCTAACTGTAGACCCCTTCTCATCTTTGGAGACTAGAGTTCAGGGTTCTGAACTCAGGGTCCGGGACACGTGTTCTGTTTACCTTCACTTCCTGTAGCCTGCTTCTTCCCGCAATGCTGAGAGTTTGGGGGCTGACGGCTACTACTGCTATTTCTATATGCTTTTACAGATGATTTTATCTTGCCCAAAGGTCTTTTTTGGTTCCTGCACTCCGCTTCTTGCATGTGATATAGCTAACCAATGCCTCTTCCTTCATTTCTTATTATGTGGTGTCCTGGTTTTCGGCTTGGGTTTCTCTCAGCTCCAGATCCTCTCTGCAGCTTGTCCACCTTCACCTCACCTGAGTTACCCTTTTCATATTCTACGGGTCATATTCATAGCCACCTGTGCAAACTGGCTCTCATACCGAAAAGATCACCCTCTTCTCTGCTGGAATATGAACTCTCACATGCTCTCTGTCTCAGCCTGAATCCAATGATGAAAATAGAACCCACCACCTTCCTCACCAAATGGCACCCTCATCTTCTTAAGTTTCCGGCCAAAGCTCAGAACCCAGGAGCTTTGTCACTCACAGCTATCTGGGTAGTTTAAGCTTTCCCTACGACTCGAATCACGGCAGATTACTTCTTCTCTTTTCTTGGTGCTCCAGGATACCAAGTAGGCCATACAGCTACTTCATTTTATAGTTGGCTTCACATTCGTATCATAAAAGGACTTGACTAACAGGGTAACAAAGGTCTTAGGTGAGAGAAATGGACTCTGCCTTCAGCCACATCCTTGTCTTTTTTTGTTTAAAATCAACACAATCTTTCTTACATCAGTGGGTGACATTCATCTCCTCTTTCATTAGCATATAACATGCCTCTGCCTTCTCCACCCTATCCAGGGCTATTCGCCCAAACTACCTAGATTAGGGATTTCATCAGCAGAAAAAATTATGAACAAAGTAAAAGACATACTGTTCTTACTCTGAGAAAGAACCATTCGGGAGATACGCATAGAAAATTCAGACCTGGCCACCTTACTCAGAGTGTTCCTTGTTAAAACTTTCAGATACAGGACTGCAAATACTGTCAGTGTAAGGGCAGGGGTATGCACGGGCACAAGCTAAGCTTTGGGAACCACAGTCAAGGCTCAATCACCTGCCTGGGCTGGGCAGAGAGCTGCTGGCAGGTACGCGGGCAGGACTGGGTGGCCACAGCAGGGAGAGCCAGGGAAGGCAGGATGATGGTGATTCACCTCTCACCCGCCGCCGCCTGCTCCCACCACAGCAAGTCTCAGGGTTTTCATCACTGTTCTCCTAAGCCAGTGGTTCCCAAAGTATGGTCTCTTGACTGGCAGCAGCAGCACATCCAAGAAGGTGTCCAAGATACAAACTCTCAGGCTCTACCCGAGACCTACTGACTAAGAAATTCTAGGGGATGGAGCCTAGCAGTCGGTGCCTTCCAGGTGATCTCGAGGGAAGGGAGAGCCTGAGAACCACCAAACTCAGTGTTCTCCTGCTCAAAGACTCACCAGTGAGCTCTGAAGGCAACCCCACCATGTACTTATAGGACCTCGGTCTACTGTAGGTCAAATTACTCTCAGGCAACTCATTAAAAATTACAACTTTCCCTCTTTCTTTCCATTCAGTCCCAGCAATGGCTGGGATACAACTCTTAAAGAGACCCCTTGGGGTTAGCCCCTATTTCCTAACAGAACTAGAGCCACAAGAAGCCTTTTTATCAAAGGTCCTACTTTTTGTCTGTGGGTGTGATGCTGCCATTCACGGCCGTGCTGTCTGCTGCCTGGATGGAGGTGGACCCAGTTTCCTAGGGAAAGGAAGCACAACTCATCAGGTCAGTCTGCCCATGGCAAGGGCTCCAGTGGAAGAGAAAAAACAGGGAAGCATGGAACCTACGTACCTCTTCACATATTTTCAACTTCTTTGTGATTGCCTGGTAACAGACAGCTGGCTAATAAAGGAGAAAAAAGACCATTTATTAAACTGAACACTTAACTGGTCTCTGTTAGAATTTCCCTAAGAGATCAGGCCTAATGTGTGGCATTAACATTGAAAACCTATTTGCCGTTTGACTTTATTCAACTCCAGATGACACATCAGAAATGTAACACACACTACTTCTCAAGTATCTATGCAACTCTGCAAGATTCTTTTGCCAATGATGATATTAAGGATCAGATTCCTATGAAGTCATACCCTCAGAATTAAAAAGCTAGTCAGTGCAAGCAGGATTGGAACCCAGGTCTGTTCAATTTCAAAGCTACAGGCTATCAGGTCCTATCGAGGTTCAGCCTAACTTAGGGCCTTGCAGATACTCTGGGAAGCTTTCCCTTCACACCGTGATGGTTTATAGATACTGTTTGTACTACAAGCCTGAGAATACATCTCACCAAACAGCATGGGCTACCTCACAAGAGCCAATAGCTCACAAGGTCTGGCTTCTCTGCCCTGGACTCTTAAGGCAACCACAAATATCTCAACTACACAGCTGCTGAGTCTTATATACTTTCTTTGGTTTACTTTTAACCTTAATAACACCTGATTCATGAGAGGGTCTCCATGTGACTTTTTATCTAGTTGCTCTGGGCAGTGGTAGAGGTAAAGCCTAAGTTTTCAGACCCGTAGGTTAAGGTTCCATGGAGCCACCTTCTTCCCTCCGGCCAGCCCCTGACGAAGGACCAAGAATGTCAAAGACCAACTCACCTTCTCAGTTTGGCTGAGCAGGAAATGATGGAAATGAGGATCTGCATCTTTCACAGGCTGAAACCAGAAAATGATTCAGTAAAATAACCTATCTTCCACCAAAGGTCACCTTGCCTGATAACTGCACTCTCTGGCTGAAACACCCCTGGCAGCTGGTCTTGACTATACAAATGCCTGGAAGCACTTTCCCATCAATAGTGCAAGCCTTTTATAAACAACCCCTGCTCCAGCTACAAGGAAGCTGTTTACATGTGGAAAAGAAGAGTCAATTCTTTCAGGTGGGCATGCAAATTATTCCACTAACACTTCACTAAAATATTTAAGAGGCATAACGGTATTTTAAAAATACAGCATTTACCAATCCCTTTGGATAACCAGCAGATGAAGCCAAATCAATCCTCAGGACTCTCCTAATTTTAGGATTTTAGCTTACTGTGTCTGGTACCAGACTTTTGAGTGTCTTGTCTCATGGAGGATTGCCATAAACAGAAACATAGGGCAACGAGTGCAGGACTTTCAAGGGCTTTCACAATTAGGTCCAGCAGGGGACGGGGGTATCTGATCCAAGGATGAAATCACGTGGGGCTACAGAGTTACATGTGTAAACAGTGAAAGCTGTCTCTATAGCATTAAGTGAAAAAAATGCGTGGGTCAATCCCACATTTGTGAAAACCAACCCTATTCCCAACAGTAGAAACCCCATGTGGGTATATAATTCTTTATCATAAATGATGGCTGAGTGGGGTGAGGGGATGTATCAAAGCATCTGGAAGAAGTTACATTAAACTTGACAGTGAGCACCTGAGGGTGGAGACTTGCACTTCTCCCCCTAACACCTCAGTACTGTCTTGCAATTTATAAATGGGGAAAGGAAAAGCCTCACACAGGCCAGGAAACCAGCTTGGAGGCTGGGTTTGTCCTGGCCTGTGGGAGAGCTTGTTACCTCGCTCACAGTCGGCTGCCATTTAAACGCGGCCATCGGTCCAGCCATCACCCCCTTCACGGTACTAGACTCAGGGATGGTGAGATCCTACAGAGGGAAAGGCAGATTGTCAGGACACTGAGGGCAGCTCAGTAGCAGATGTCTTCCTGCACCACATCGGGGAGCACCTCTTCACTGCTTTGCTTCCTTCAGTTACATTCCACCTTAAACGAAATCCCTAGCAACTCCACAGTCTCAGAATCAGTCCCTAGGCACGGTTCTGACTGTTCATCGGGGAAAACCAGGCAAATTCTCATCAATAGGGAGCAAGCCTTTCTTCTCTGTTCTTGAAATAACAAATTGTCTTCTTGTGCCCAAGTTTCGCAAGGACCAATGTCTCTGGAAAGTCCAACTATGGTATGCAGCATTGTCAGCAAGTAAAAAAAAAAAATTCCTTATGGCCATAAGTGAACACTAAGAAAATAGTACTGGCTTCAGAGGGAATCTCAAAAAACAAACAAACAAACAAAAAACAAAACAAAAAACAAAAACTAAGAAAGCCACATGGTGCCAATGCGGAAATGTGCCCAGCGTTTTAGCTACCAGGTGACAAAGCCAGACTTCGAACCCAGGGCGGCTGGGAGCCAAGAGCCCCTTTCTCTCCCCAGGCTGATGCCAGGGCAGGACTCAGTGGAATAGGGTGCACTTCCTAACCAACAGCCTGGTCCACACCCATCCTGGGCAGGGAGCTGCTTCAACTTTACACTTGCTGTGTTCTGATCACCTCCACCGAGTTTACCTCTTATTTCCTTTCCACATGTGTGATCTTCCAGCCATGGTGGCCCTCCAGACATTTCTACTTGGATATCTAAAGGGAATCCTGACACACCCCACTGCAGTCTGGATCTCCCTGCCCAAATGGCTCCTTCCATGGTCTTTGAAGTCTTAGAAAAGCAGCTCAGTTCTACCAGGCTGAGATCTTTGTGGTCCTTCTTGATTTTACCATCCTCTTATCTGCTAGCAGTAATTATGGTTTTACAACTGGGGATCTGCAACCCCTTCTTGCCACCCCATTGCTAACATCCAAGCTCCTGCCATCAGCTATCACTTGGGACTACAGCAAAAGGGATCCTCCTGCTTCCGTTCTGGAACCCTGCAGTCTATAGACTGTACACAGCAGCCAGAGTGAAGTATGCCACTTCTCTGCCTAAAACTGGTTTCCTGTCTCACAGTCAGGCTAAAGGCTTTATTATTATAGCCTACGGGGCACTACAAGTTCTACAACTCCTACTCCACAATAATCTCCAAATTCATGTCCTATTATATTTTCTCCTCTGTCACCAGTCTCCAACTTGCCAGCACCCCCTTGGCCCTCCATCCATTCCCCAAACACACCAAACCTATCCCTGCCTCAGTGCCTTTGCACTACTGGGAATGCTCTTCCAACAGTTATCTACTTGGCTCTCATGCTCACTTCAGCATGGCTCACATGCAGAAATGTCACCTTATCTGGTGCTTTCCCTGATCCATTAGAACATGATGCTGATGCTATTATAAGTAAGTTCTATGAAAGCAAGACCCTTGACGATTTTGTTTATTCCGTATTCCATGCTGGGAGCCATGCCTGGAGCAGATTATTAGGTATTCGCTATTTACTAAAGAAGTGAACACGAGAAGGCCCTCTCTATCATGCTGCTTTATCTCTAGACATCTGGCTTATGATGGAGCTGCTCAATCAACATTTTCTGAATAAAGAGCTCTGGGGAAACAGAGGCCTAGTGCAGTTCTGTCCCAAAGAACGTCCTGCCAAAATGGACATGTTTTGTATCTGTCCCCTACAGCTGGGGCAGCATAGCTCTAGTGACCTGCTTAAGGACCCAGGACAGAAACAGAGTGAGATGGAAAGCACCGAGTTTCCATCTGGCACTGACAAAAGGCTTTGACTCCTACCTCATCTCATCACTCTCTGTACCACCAGCCATTGGACTGATGGCTCTGTTCTGTCAGGGTGGTGTGTGCCTAGAGATGTAGTTCTTCTCAGCCCACGACTTGGAAATGAGAGCCCCTGAGAGAGGATGAGAGCACACACCGGAGTTGAGCCATGAACCCAGCCTTTCTCTGTACCCATGAAACTAACGTCTCTGCGTCAAAAGGTCATCCTTTTCCACTAATCCTTATGGGACAGGGGATTGTGGCTCAGAATGGCAATCATCCAGGATTCTGCTCAGTTATCAGCCTAGGCTACTGCTGTTTCAGAAAGAAGCTTGACAGCCAAACAACAATTACTGCAGCAACACTTTTTAGACCATAGGACCTATTAGATCAGAAGATGCACAAAATTCCAAGCCCAGATTCCCTACATCTCTGAATATACTTAATAAAGACCAACTGTTTGAGCTGAAATGGCTGTGTCCACCCTGTACTACTGGCCACACTCCTTCCTCTCCAGGTGACAAATCCTTCACTAGAGACTGGGTCAAGCAAGGAGACTAGAAAGGACCCTGCTAAAGGTAAACTGCAAGTAGGGCTCTTGGCTAGGGATCTAACTCCAAGAATAGCAGCAGAAATGTTACTATCCCCTGATTAATAATTCAGACTCAAGGGCAAACTGATTTTCCCTGGGAGCCTTTGAGAAGAGTCCTGCAGTAAGCCTGGTGGTGGCCTCAGGTTACACTAAAACCACTACGCTCTCACTGCACAACAGGCTACTGCCAGACACTGACAAATGTAAAGCCATTCATCAAATGTGTAGTGCAAGGCACACCATTCTTGGTGCTTTGCTCTTGTTACTCATTTAATTCTCACAACAAACCTGAGAGACAGGTATCACTATTATTCCCAATGATCAGATGAGGAAACCAAGGCAAAAGTAGTTGGCCAAGATCACATAGCTGCAGCAAGTTAGGGAGTCACAGTTCAGACTCAGAACTCCTCCTCATCTCTCCTGTACACTTTCCTTTTTCCAAAAAGATGTCATTTCTCTGCAGGGCCAGCAAAGGAGTTGGTGAGATCCATGGCTTTAGAAAACAGAAAATAGGAATTTGGAGAGCAGTATAAAACCCAACAGCTCAGATGCCTCTGGATCCCCAGGAAATCAATTCAATTTGATCTAATTAGATCACACCCCCTGAGAAGTTCTTCCTGCATCATGGCTGGCTGTTTTCTCCACCTTCTCCACCTCTGGCTGGCAGTTCTCTGTGCTTACCGTCAGCCAAGGGTGTCTTGACCACCAGTCACTCTCTCTACTCTGTCTCAGGTCATTGGACAGTGAGAAGGACCCTCCCTAACACAGTGGTCACAGAGTGGCAGCCCACACGCTAAATCTAGCCCAGAGATGTTCCTCTGGACATAAAAGTATTTTAAAATTTTAAATTAGCTTGTAAGGTTTAAGACTGGAACGTTTCACATAAAACCCTGTATTTCTAGCTTTTCTTGAGAAAAACCAATCGGGCAAAAGTTGACTGGAACCCCATAGACAGAGTATGACCTCACCAGAGTGCCAGCTGCTGCCATACCTAATGCTCTCAGCGCGGAGGTAGGTCAGGGCTGTGGACCCTCCGCCAGCTCCCCTTGCTGCCATGACCTGTCTGGTCTCCCTGGTGTCTGAATTTGCAGGCCTTAATCTAATGAGGTCTAGTGTTTCATCATGGCCTTATCACCAACTGTTTCTGCCAGCCATCTCGCTCCCGACCCCTTGACTGTGTTCTAACAATCCTCTTCTGTTGGGACAGACTACCTCCTCCACCTCGAATTCCTTATCCTTGGTTTTTGAGACTTAACCCAAATCTTTTCAGGAAGGTAAAAGGTACATTATTTCCACTTTATTTCACTGTGATGACTTCTTCCAACTCTGACCTGTGGTCGTTCTCCCTGCAAAGCAGACTCCTGCCCTTCACTCTGTTCCCTCCTTACTTTCTCTCAAGACCAATCCCACTGGGCCACACAGTTAGATTTTGTACATATTCTCCAACATACTTTCTACTTATTTGCTCTCACATCTACATCCCACCCTGACATTAGTTCAAGGTCCCCTATCATCTCATCATCATCTCAAATTCATCACACTCAAAATACAATTAGTTCTCTTACTCTGTAAGCCAATCCTACCCGATTTATGCTTTTGTGAAAGGCATTACCATTTCCCAGACAAAAATCTGAAATCCTCTCCCTCCCCCTTTCCTCTGTCACCAGTTGCTAAATATTATGAGCCCTTCTTCTGCAGTGCCTCTCGGGCAATTCCTTTCAGTATTTGCTATCAGAATAGCTCTTTATAAATGCAAACCTGGCTGGTTTCTGACCAGCTTTAGCCTTTCTTCTCTGCCCTCGCCATTGCTAACATAGAGCTTAGAGCACACTGTCACCCTGACACCCAATTCCAACGTGATCGTGGACCCCTATTGACTCCATGACAATAAATACTGCTTTAGTAGATCTCGAGGCCCTCCACAATCCAGTGACAACCCACTTAGCTCTCTGCTCTCCTGCCTGTCCTCTACCTGTAATGAGAATATCCACGGCAACATCAAGCCCCACATAGGCTGGGCCCGTGGTCTCTGGAATGCCTTCCTCTCTTTCTTCCTAAGCCCCTTCCAATGCCAGCCCTTGCATGCTAACTCAGGTGGACGGTTCTTCTGCCTCAACCATCTAGTTGAATGCAAGATCCTTTGCTGCCTTGTGTTCCTATTTCAGGCCTGTGCATCCAGGCTGTGTCCCTCCCCTGGTCTGCGGGATTCTTTAGGGCAGTGCTTAGCACAGGTCTCTATGTTCACTCTGAGCTGAGACACACTGTAGAGCTCAACTCTTTCATATACAGAAGAAAGTCACTAATCCCAGAAGCTGCAGAGGTAAAACAAACCTTCTCATCCTTTGGGGGCCGACCCCGTTTCCGGGGACTCTGCTCTTGGGCTCTTTTCAGAGGGGACTTGGAACCTCTCTCTGAAGAGCCTGAAGACACCCTCTTCTTTCCTTCTCCCATGTTCTTCTTCACCTTCCCTTCAGACAGGCTAAGCTTCCGCTTCTCATCACCTGAGTTTGGCCTACTTCTCTCCTCACTGGAATTACGCCGATTCTTGTCATCAGCAGAATTGTGGGATGATGTCTGAAAGTTTAATAATAACAATGATAGCCACCACAGCAGCCACTGCTGCTGCTACTGCCATTTACACAAGGCACACCCTAGGAGAAGCACTTTATATACGCTAACCACACAACAACCCTACAAAATAGGTTCTGCTATTGCTCCCACTGATATTTGGAGAAGCAGATAAAAAGTCAAATCACTTGCCTATAGTCCCAAAGCTGAAAAGTGGGATTTACACCCAGGCAGTGGATATACTTGAGAAGCTATGCTCCTAATATCTAGTATATAAAAGGAGAAATGCCTGTGTTGTACTCAAAAGCTGAACTACTTCTCCTGAGTCCAAGTGACTTTCCTAAGAACAGCATCTATTCTAGAAAAGACCACCGCATGCATGGAGTCTCAAGCTGACAAGTAAAACGCGGATACCCTAGAACTGAAGTAGTGTTCTCTCCATTGGTATTTCATAAGAAAAGAGCTTTGGGTTTGGGCAATATTTAATCTGTTAGTTACTATGCCAAAATAACCAGTCTAATGTTGGAATAAAGCAAGAATCAGTCTCTTACCTGGTCTTTCCCTTTGGCTCTCCGGAGGAACTCTTCGACAGCATCCACAGCCTGCTGAAATCTTTTCCCCTTGTTAATCTTTATCATTTCTTCTTTATGTGCGTGGTATGGCTTTAGCTGTTCCACTTTGATCCAAGCACTGGCAGAAAATACACACAGAAAGAGTATGATCCACAATGCCCATGGCAGAAAGTATCAAATACCTCATTGCAACAGAATGCAGATATTCATCTGGTTTAACTGGACTTTGAAATAGGCCTGCCATGTTTTCAAAACATGTTATCAACCACCCAAAACTCTTGGGGTGTTATAAAAGTATGTCTTCCTGAAACAAGTCAGGCACAACAACCACTACCAACAAAACAAGACCATCCTCCACATGTTGCAGGCTATTTATGTCTATTCTTGTTCACCAGCTGTCCACACTAAACCACACATTGCCTGATACTTCTGCAGGGCTGAGGAAGCCTGGAGATGTTCTTCCATTCTCATCACAGGAGTCCCTCATGGACCTGGGCATCAGGAAGCATTACTGACCAAGCAACATCACTGCCCAGTCAATACCCAAACCAGAATGACAACCTGTCAATCAAGTGAGAATCAGGGATGCTCCCACGGCTAAAGATATGCAGTCTGGGATGCCTGGGTGGCTCAGCGGTTAAGTATCTGCCTTCAGCTCAGGGTGTGATCCTGGAGTCCTGGGATCGAGTCCCACATCAGGCTCCCTGCATGGAGCCTGCATCTCCCTCTGACTGTGTCTCTGCCTCACTCTCTCTATATCTCTCATGAATAAATAAAATCTTAAAAAAAGAAAAAAGAAATGCAGCATCTGAAATTTGCTCTTACAGATATTTGTTCATAAATGACCATGTCTGTGGCCACTAAACCAGATAAAATATGACAAATAATTTGGAATGAGGGCAGCAGTTGTAACAGGAGGTATTTTGAAACAAGATTCTGCTTGTGATTAATGGTGGAACATACCCTGTTTGATTTTTAATTCCTACCATCAATGTGTAACACATGCAAGTAAAAAAGCCATCAGTTGTCACTTCTAAAATATCTGTCCTACCATTCTAACCTGAACAAATTTGCCCCAGCTCACTTCCTGTAGTTTTCCTAAATGATATTCAGCTTCCCGGTACAAAGGAGAAGATTTTACAGGTTTGGTGAAGTATCAGTTAACTTATAGACATTTTTATTGTATAGAACTCACAGGTTTCATAGCATAACCTTCTGGAAAAGGAGTCAGGTTAAGGATAGAGAAACTGAGCTATCATACTTAGGGCCCTTTCTTTTAGAGAAAGCTAGAGAATATTCACTAATAATAGTAAAAATGTGAGGAGCCTGGGTGGCTGAATCAGTTAAGCGTCCAACTCTTGATCTCAACTCAGGTCCTGAACTCAGGATTGTGAGTTCAAGCCCTGCATTAAAAAAAGAAGAAGAAAAAAGAAAAAGCACTAATCTCTGTACATAAAAATAGTGTGAACAACCCACCAATGGCCACCTATGTACTGAGTGTTATGCTAATAATTGTGACAATGGATCTGTACAAACACAATAGCTGTGGGACTATGAGCCTGCAAATGTGACAGCAAATGAGAGCTAAGCATATTATCTATGGATAAACAAAATCACAGAGAATGGAATGATGAACGAGGCCTCAGACACTGTCTCACCGCATAAAGCTTCAACCAGGTGAGGTAAGCAGGTACCTTCTAGTGATTAACTCATCTTAAAAGTCTGAAACTTGACTGATAGAGTCAAGTGGTCTATTCTATGGAGAGGAAAAATGGAATGATATTTTGACCTCATGTTGCCTGGAAGGTATACAACTGAACGGACCCTCCTGCTTCTCTTCCCATTTAGTGTTTCTAAGGACAGACCACCAGAGCAGATGCAAAGCCAGATATGCCCTGAAAAGCAGGCTAAGCTGTCCTACTGAGATGACACAAGTACCAGCGATAAAGCTTAAAGAGCCACATGCTCTAGACATGCCTCTTCCTTCGCTGCGCTTCAGGTTAGAAGCGGAGACTCACGTAAGTTCTGGTGTAAGACCAATGGGGTGGTTTTTATGGAGCCCTGTAAGATGGGACAATACAGTCTAAGGCATCCTAATCTCTGCCTCCCTCTCCCCACATGAACTTCTGAGTATGAGGACGTGGATAGGTAAGGACATTTGTGGAGGAGGCACCAATAATTCATGCCTATTTTTTCACCGAAGCATTTTAAGTGGATTACTAATTTCTGCCAGAAGAATGGTACAGTCAAAATTCCATTCATCCTGAAGACTGGCATTTGAATACTAAAACGAAATTTTCTGCTTTGACCATTTTTTAAAAATGACAAATTTGCTAAGCAAATGGACAGTATAAATATCAAGAACATAAATGCAAGAAATATTAATCTAGCTAAGAAATCAGCCTATTATTGAAGCACTGTGCCCCATTAGAAAAATGGTAAATAAAAAGCCAGCTCACCAGAGCCCTAGGAGGATTACCTCTTGAAAGCAAGCCAAATTGAAATCACTTTAGCCATCTGAATAGTTTTTCTCTAAAGGCTAACTCCGTCTCCTTAAAGAGTACACTTCTCAGCCACAGCTTCAATAATGCACCATTCTCTAGTACACTGAGGCCTATCAGCTGGGTCTGGCATGCAACTCGTGCTCAATAAATAATCACTGAGTAAATGATGCCTTCCAAGCATGTTCAGAAGGGCTGGAATGTTGGTCTCTGGGTTAAATGTTATAAGGCTTTGGTGGCCTTTTCGGGTTGTTGCTGTTGTCTGTACATTTTTGTTTTTTGTTTTATCACGACCCTAAGATCAAGACTTGAGCCAAGATCAAGAGTTGGATGTTTAACTGACTGAGACACCCAGGTGTCCCCGCTTTTTTAAAATTTATTTCTATTATTTAAAGATTTTATCTATTTATTCATGATAGAAAGAGAGGGGGAGGGAGAGAGAGAGAGAAGCAGGCAAAGACACAGGCATAAGGAGAAGCAGGCTCCATGCAGGGAGCCGATGTGGGACTCGATCTGGGGACTCCGGGATCACGCCCTGGGCTGAAAGCAGGCACTAAACCGCTGAGCCACCCAGAGATCCCCCCCCCCTTTTAAAATGACTTCTGTGTCTTTCTGTGATATGAGCTGTGACTTGTGATTTCCCTTCTATTATCCTCCTGATGCCTAGATGGAGCTGGACCTTTTCTGCCCAATTTGCTGTCGGGCTGGAGTCAGAAAAATTAAGCTTAGTCAAGTGGTGTGTAAATTACGAGCCCTTGCTTTTACATATACATACAAGGAAGTTAATCCTATTGTTTGTAGTGGCAATCAGTGAGGTCATTATGAAGAACAAAATGGATGCTCCCTTAAGATATCTGGCTAAGTGGAAGAAAGCAAGGTGCAGAACAGTGTGTGTAGTATGCTATCAACTTACGTAAAAACAAGGAAAAAGGAATATGTAATTTCTTGATTCTGCACATAGTATCTTTGTAGGGGCATATTATAAGAAACTAGTATAACTGGATGCCCATGGGCTGGTAACTGGGTGGCTGAGGGACAGGGATGAATGGAACTGTTTCATAATTTATACCTGAATTGGAGGGGTGGGGGAGGCCTAGGCGTAAACATGTATTATCTTTAAAAACAACAACAAATCAACAATGAAGGCCTCTGCCATAGAACGTGAGCTGCTCTGCTCATGGGATTGACCCCATGACTTCTTTGTTTGTGGGCTTTCTCAAGTGGGTAGCTATTACCAGGTGGTAGGTGTAACTGCACCTGTAACACAGCCAGGAGCAGCAAACTTACCCTGGTATTCCAATATACCTCCTGTAAATTCTTTTCATTTGCAAATATAAACCTTCTACTATAAGCTACTCTCAGATTACACACTCTGCTCAAAATTAAACACCTAACATTTTCAAAAATTTCCATAATTCTGACCTGCTCTTAAATTAAAATCATACCACATATATATATATATATTAAACAAGGGTCTATAAACAATCTCTAAAACTCTCAATATGTGTCTCAGACTGCATGACACAATGACCTGGGTGGGAGGGAGGACACAAATGTGTCAGTAGAGTCCAAAGGTGAGAACAAAGATGGGGTGAGAAGATATTGTTGCTCCTCCATCTAGAATTTGGTGAGTAGTATTGAGCAAACGATTTGTATGCTTGCCCTGCCTGAAACCACTGAAAGAGGCTAAGGATTACTGAGTTGTTACAGGTCCAAGTCTAAGCTGTTCAGAAATCGACACCTAAAAAACCACAAATCAAAAAACAACCCCCCTCCAAAAAGAAGCCACAAAGAAAACAAGAGTTTGTTAATTTCAAGCAATGATTATCATATAGACATCAACAAAGACTTGCAGATAAGATAGATTTAGAAGATTGTTTTCAAAACTTGAAAACATTCCCAAATGCTGGATACAGCTTTCAAGCTGTGCTGCCTATGCCAATATGGCTAGCCCCTTCTTTTGTGCCAGATTCTTTAATTCTGGCTTATGACACCTGCTCCTGGAGTCCACTGTCTCAGCCATGAGGGGAGTCACCTGTAGGATGGATACTGGTGCTGGGAGAGGAAAATCTACTCAGTGCTCTCTAGGACAGGTACTGCTCAGCCCTGGCAGAGGACACTGCTGGCTCAGTCCAAATACCTGGAGCAGTGCACTCAACATCCAGTTGGCTCTCTTCTCCAATTGCTACAGTGTTGGATATAGAGAAAGTGAGCCAACCAAGTGCCAGGCGAAAAGAAAGAAGGATGCTCCAATGGCTCCTATCTGCTTGTAATTACAAGCCACAGGTTTTTTTCCAAGAGTTACTTTAGTACTCACTCACTTCATACCTTATATCTCCCTTGATATAAAAAGTATCTCAGGTTGGGATCCTGGACAGCTTATCACTAACTCCACCAATCTCCTGACTCTTAGTGTCTACATCTGTTAAAAAGTCTTATCCGTTTTCCAGAAGGGCTGTTGTAGGATCAGGTATGAAGGCTGCTAAAGAAACTCTCAAGTGGTTATTTGGAATCTATCCTCTTTTGCCATCCATACTCTCTTGAACGGTTTGTCTTGGGGTTTTTGAACACTCAGGGACTACATGAGTTCCCTCCATTCTGCCATCCATGGCCACTGATGAAAATTTCAAACCCTGAGCTCAGTTTCTATCCTGATGAGCAACTCCCTGTCCAAGATAGGCCCTCAGGTACCTGAAACTTCATCTGTGGGTGTGGTCATGTGATAGAGTCAAAGTTACGCTAAAGTTATTTTTCCCTCTATATCTCCATGAAGTAGAAAACGACCACAAGTAGCCCTCATCCACAGTGGTCATCCAGGCTCGGAGAGCTGAATCCAGCCATCTCACTGAGTTCTTCCCCTTCCAGAGGCAGCTTGTTAAGAAGATGGGTCTCAGGACACCTGGGTAGCTCAGCAGTTGAGTGTCTGCCTTCAGCTGAGGGTGTGATCCTGGGATCCAGGATCAAGTCCTGCATTGGGCTCCTTGCAGGAAGCCTGCTTCTCCCTCTGCCTGTGTCTCTCTCTCTCTCTGTGTCTTTCATGAATAAATAAATACAATCTTAAAAAAAAAAAAAAAAAAAAAAGGAAGGTCTGGTCTTCTTTCTTCCCAACAGGATGTCAACATAATTTGTCAAGATATTTTAGCAGAGAAAAGGAGAAAAACTACTTTTCTAGAGAATTGAAATCTTTATCTTAAGGATCTATCCTTTTCAATCTTTAATAAAGGTTCTTGCTAATATATATAAAAAAGTTGTATCTATAAATAGTTTTTGTCATAACGCACAGTTTTGAAAAGGAATGTCTCTCACTGAATCCCGTATTGCTTAGGAATTCAGGAGCAGCCCCATGGGGTCAGGCCCTATCCACCAAAATCAGGACCCTGTAACCAATAACCCCTCTCCTCTCCCTGACATCAAGCATCAAAGGCGAGGGAAAGCCCACTTTCTTCTGGAACCACCTATGGCCTTGCCCTTTACAAAGCAGTTTTCATCTCTAAAAATCCACTTGTACTTCCCACGGAAAGCACTTGTCAAATGTCTTGTTTCCTAGAGTGCTTCTTATGCATGCCCTAAACATAGTCACCATAGCACCTGTTCTACTCATAGTGCCCCTTACCGAAATGTCTGCTGATTTATGAATAAGTCAGTGTTGACCTCCTTAGGGCCATCCATCATCAGTACAGATTGTGGTCTTTTTCACATTATTAAAGAAGTCACCATAGCACCTGTTCTACTCATAGTGCCCCTTACTGAAATGTCTGCTGATTTATGAATAAGTCAGTGTTGACCTCCTTAGGGCCATCCATCATCAGTACAGATTTTGGTCTTTTTCACATTATTAAAGAGTCTTACTCTTTGATGGGACTTGGTCCCCTTTTCTGATCCTGACTAGTTCCATCAGATCCCTTTGGGAGCATGGACTCAACTGCACACTGCACTCCTGGCAAGGCAAAGCAGTTTTTACATAAAGGTGGAAAAATGTTAAAAAAAAAAAAAAAAAAAAGAAGGTACAACAATTTACTGTTTGGTGTGGGAAGCCTTTTTGGTCAAAGGAATAGACCCAGTTGAAGTCCTTAAGAATTTCTGACTCTCAGATGTCTTTCCTTTTTTTTTTTTTAATTAATTTATTTATTTATGATAGTCACAGAGAGAGAGAGAGGCAGAGACACAGGCAGAGGGAGAAGCAGGCTCCATGCACCGGGAGCCCGACGTGGGATTTAATCCCGGGTCTCCAGGATCGGGCCCTGGGCCAAAGGCAGGCGCTAAACCGCTGCGCCACCCAGGGATCCCCCTTCAGATAATTTAAAGACAGTAAATAATACGTGCGTGCTGAGAACCCTTCTCCCTTCAGGAAGTGCTCGGAGATCCTTACCCTTTGTTTCCTTTTGTTGTCATCTGCCTAGCCACAAGAAGATAATAATGTGTTGGTCCAGTGACAACTTAATTTTTAAATAACTTTTTAAGTGGAATTCTACCAAGGGAGTTTAACAAGCCTAAAGATACTATATATCTAATAGTTGCCTTGAACTCACTTGCTTATGAATCTTCACAAAGAACTTTAGCTAGAAATCACATCACTACCACTACTAACCCCAATAGCTTACTTTTATGTTCAGGAAGTGCATTCTTTTCATTGGCTTCACTTGTGTGCCTGGTTAAGTGCTGAAATTCACTCAACTCCAATTTTCTGTCTCACTTGTATTTCTTATACAGAGAGATCAGTTTACTCTTCTGATCTTACAGCATTTTTTTCTACCTTTTTTTAATGATTTAAAAAATCATATTCTCACTGCATAAAAATAAGAAAATTCATCAAGTATAAGGAAGAAAATCCTTCCAGGATTTTTTTAAATTATAAGAACACAGGGATCCCTGCGTGGCTGAGCAGTTTAGCACCTGCCATTGGCCCAGGGCATGATCCTGGAGTCCCAGGATCGAGTCCTGCATCAGGCTCCCTTCCTTGAGCCCTGCTTCTCCCTCTGTCTGTGTCTCTGCCTCTCTCTGTGTCTCTCATGAATAAATAAATTTTTTTTTTCATGAGAGACAGAGAGACAGAGACATAGGCAGAGGGAGAAGCAGGCTTCATGCAGGAAACCTGATGTGGGACTTGATCCTGGAGTCCTGGGATTATGCCTTGAGCCAAAGGCAGATGCTCAACCACTGAGCCACCCAAGCATCCCAAATAAATAAAATCTTAAAAAAAAAAAAAAAGGGACACAATGGTTTTCAGGCCTCCTGTAATCTGATCAAGCCCCCACTCTCCATGAGTTTCCACTTTTGTTGTAGACTGGTATATGTTTGTTTAGCTAATCAAGTTGGGTCAACCATATTTCCTGTTATTCTCAAGAACAGTTCTTTACCCAGGTGGGAAGCCTCACTCTGCTCACACATCCAACTTAACACCCAGTTGCTCACAGTATTCCAACTGCCTGCACATCCTTTTTCTTCCTGCCTATTCAAATTCTATCCACCCTCCAGAGTAGATTCTAACCCCATCTCTTCTATCATCCTTCTTTGACCTGCCTATTCTCCACTGATGTCTCCTTGTTCTAGAATCCTTTAATAGTCACCTGTATCACTCATTCTGCACTTATTCCCATCTGAAATGTCTATGTCTTGTCACCTGAGTTCCTGAAAGGCAAGGACCACAACATCTGTTTTTCTTTGAAGGAAGCTCTTTTTGGTGTCAACAATTCAAAGTGTGCTGTACAATTAGCACATGTATACACAGGGACAATCTTTCTTGTAATGTCAGTGGCATTACCAGAACATTCCTGCTTCCAGAGTGTCTGTGGTTGTCACAGCTGTGGGTCAGTGATTCCCTTGAATACTGTCATCAAAAGGCTGCTAAATTATTTTATTACAGAGAACTGGGTATATTGGCACACCTGCATGGTGAAGGTAGACACACCATTTAAACTCTAACTCAGGCTAAGCACTCTGGCATATAAACTCCTGAATGAGTGAAGAACACTGCTTATAACAGATTTTGCTATAGAATATATCACTTTTTAGGAATATCTATTTTAACCATTAGCATTAGATTCTTCAGAAACCTCACAGACATTTTAATCTAAGAATCCTAAGTACAGCTACTTAAACCACCTAGCTACACCCAGGTAACCAAAACCATGTAATAACAAGAGAGCTGAACAAATCACTGGAAACTCAGGTAAATATGTATTCTCCTCTTTACTGTGACCTATATGGCCTATCAGAGAATCTCAAGGGAATGGTCCTGATTTCACTGTGTATCTCACACATGAACCACAATGATAAACAGCCATTAAAAGAGAGCTGAACGTGGTCTTTATAAAAGGAACTACTACGGGATTGGATAAAGAGATGTGAGAAATGACATTACTGTGATTATCATATTTAAAGGAATCCTATTTCTCACCTGACTGACATTGTTATTGGCCACAGAACAATTCCTATGAGCTAAGAATACATTTAGGTATAAAGCCAGAACAATACGCCATTCTCACAGACTACAGTAAAAATGAACTAGGGTCCCTAGAATATTCTCATAAGCAGCTCAGATCCAGGGCAATGCCCAAACAAAGGGAAAGTGAAACTCCCGAAGAGCACTACTCACTGATCTTCTGTTCCAAAAAACTTCACAAAGAAGCATTTCTTGCCACGAGGTTTCTTCAAGTCTTTGGGTGGATTAACAATCTGGAGAGTAAAAGGCGGAAAAAGGTTTTTCACACCTCTAAGTTGGTAGGAAAAAAATGAAATAAAACAAAAGGAATATGTTTAAAATGAACCCAGGATCTAGTACCTGTCCAAATCTGGCACGTTTCTACTGAGATGTGTGGAAATGTGCAAATATTCTAGTTCCCTACATGTACCATGTAGCAGTGTTCAGTAAGTAGAATACCCCTTCTACTGCAATGGCTCTGTTTTAATAGCAGTTAAAACTAAGATCAATATCAACCCCCTTCAACCATGTGACCCTGTCATCACTGAAAAAATGCACAGAACACTCTTAAAAATATTTCAGTGAAGTAATAAGGTGGTGACTATGCTTACTGGTAAGCACTGGGTAATGTATAGAACTACTGAATGAATATGCTGTACACCTGAAACTACTACAACACTGTATGTCAATTATGCTTTAATAAACAAACAAAAAGAAACAACTGCGCAGGAAAAGTTGAGACAGGTAATAATAATAATGAAGAACAACAGAGGCAATGAAAATGCCATATTGCAAAGAGACAGTCTAAAGACATTTCCTGGGCTCCTAGCAAGAATTTAAAAACAGAACATTTGGAAAGCTATGACGGATTGCCTCATGCAAAATCTGGAATGCCAACTTCTGCAAAGATGCACTGGAGCAGCACATATGGTAACATGGAAAGAAGATTTAAACTTAGTTGGGACAAAAATACTTTGACTTTTCACTAACCTACATTTAGATTCCGCTCTTCCTGGAGAATTTATTTTCTTCTCCTTTTGTTACATTTAAGTATAAGGCTAAAATTCAAATTAGAATTGATTTCCAGGACTAAGAAACTTCACCAAAACCATCTCTAGTTCAAGAGATAAGCATTTACTGCAGATTAAATGACCTGGTTTATACTGCACTGTCTTTTCTAAACAAACTGAAGAATAGAGAGAAAAAAATTGTGTTACTTAAGTCCAGTTTAACTAAATGCCGGAAACAGAGAGGAATGAATCTTACGTTCTTCACCTTCTCAAACCCAACTTCAGACGTATTCCGTTAGTAGCAAGACACTCACCTTTCCTGGCCAAGGAGGATACCGGCCGAGTTTCCCCCTAGAGAAAACACACAGTCAGCGTTTGCCCTGGAAAAGCCAGTCCATCTCCTTCAACCCACTCAACATGAAATGTATTTTCCTAACTCTCCACCTGCACCCTCAAGTGCCAAAACAAAAGCTGGCAAACAGCAGTTCTTAATTTGGCTTCCGCAGCTGGACCCAAGAAGCCCGAACTCCTCAGAAACGAAATGCGTAAGTGCAATAAGGTATGTGCATTCTTGCGGCGACAAGGAATACAGAACAAACGAAACCAACCAGGAGTCACTGGTCTAGAGCCTCCCCAGGACTGGGGGCTTGGGGCAGGGGAGGGGGGAAGCGTAGTTTGCTCTGTAAACACAGACTTCCCCTTACAAAGTCTGGTTTAATTCACCGCGAGACCAGCCCGGCTTTGACACAATGCTAATGGAAACCTTCCTCTGGGTCGAGAAGTGAGCTACGTCGCTCCAGGGAAGCGGCGACGGTCAGTCTTGGTTCGGGCGGTTGTCTGGGACACGGAAGCAGACCACGAGAGGCACCCAAGAAGGCAGCGGTCACTGCCAAGCCTTCGGCTGTAAAGGAGAAGTCCCCCTTCCATTTCTTCACGGGGCAGCGCCAGCAGTCCGGTTTCGACACCCCGGGCCAAGTCGCCCGCACAGGTCGGCTCCATCGCAACGCGAGTTTTGACGGGCTTGCCCAGGCGAGGTGGCCCCGCGGGCTCCCCGGCTCGCCCGCTTCCCGGGGGGGGGGGGGGAGCCTCAGCAAAGACCCCAACGACCCGGCGTCCGCGGGGAGGCGTGCGGCACCGGAGACTCCCTTCGCGGCGGCCGCCGCCGGCGTGCAGGTGCGGAGCGCAGCCCTCCCCCGGGCGGCCTCGGGGCTTAGAGCCCGGCCCGCCGCGGCCACTCTCGGCCTCAGTCCCCCGGGGCCGGGCTGCCCCTTCCGCCCGGCGTCGCTCCCGGCGCCGGCACCTCGTCTCGCCCTCTCTCCGCAGCCTGGAGCGCTTAGAAAGGCAGCTCCGGGGCCGGCCGCGAACCCCGCGCCCAGTGGAGGAGCTTCCCGGCGCACCTCGCTTAGCCCTGGCCGCCCGGACTCACCACACCAGATCGCCGAGCCGCAGACTCACAGCCGCCATCTTACCACCCAACCACCGCCGACGCACGGGCCGCCGGGAACACCAAGTCGCCCCGGCGCCGCCCATTGGAGTGCGCGCGGCCACGTGACGGGGGCCGGCTGTCACCGGCCACGCCGCTGCCTTGACGTCACCGCGCCCGCCGCAGTTCATTGGCCGGCCCAGCGGCACGTGACGCAGGCGCCGCTGTCTCGGCGCGCCGGAGCCCGGAGACTCCCGGCTCCTTCCCCCTCCCTCCGGCTCGTGACAACGAAGCGCCCGCGGTCCGAGGCGGCGGAGGCGGCGGTGACGGCGCGGCCGGCCGAGCGCGCGAGGGAGCCGGCCCTGCGGCCCGCCCCGCCTCTGGGCTCTGGCCTTCTGCCCCCTCCCGTCCGCGCTTCCGTTGCGGCCGTTAGCCCCGCGCAGGGGCCGGCCGCGTCGCCACACCGGGGCTGCCCTGACGGACCTCGGCGCGGCCTGGAAGCCAGCCTCGGCCCGCGCCCGCGCGCGGGGCGCTCTGCGCGGCCTCGCCCGGGGGTCTGACGGGTCCTTCGGTGCGCGCTTTCTAACGGCCGGCGCCCGGGGAGCGGCTCGGAGCCCGCGCCCGCCGCCTCAAGTTCTCCCGGGGCGCCGGGGCCGCCCGCCCGAGGTCGCGAGCTGCTCGACCGACGTGGAGCCGGCGTCTCTGCGCTTCCTCCGGGGCCGGCGCGGCGGCACGGCCGGCGAGGCTAGCCCGGGCGCCGGGGGACCCAGCCATGGGCCGCGGCGTGGGCCGACCGCCCGCGGGGAGGCATGGCTCGGGGGCCGGCCGCTAGCGGCGCCGCAGCCCGGGCGCCCGGGCCGGCATGAGGACGGCCGCGGGGGGACGAGTGCGGCCCGTGGGGCCGTAGCCTGCGTCGCGCCGGGGACAAAGGTGCGTGTCTTTGTCGGGACCGGGCTCTCCCGTCCGCCTCGTTGTAGTTTGACACTTTTAGAGAAGTTGGGAGCTGGCTGTTGTGACAACAGGAAGGCAGATGCTCGCGTAGTTGGGAGTCCGTGAAGCCCAGGGCGTTGAATGGGGAACTGTTTACAGCAGCCCAGCGCGGAGCTCAAACCGCCCCCTTCCCCCCGCCCCCCGGGTACAAAATAGCAATTTTTTGGAAAGCTCCCAGTCCCAGTCGCAGGCCCCCCAATAGCCTCGGTGTTGTCGACCTTAGAGTTTCTCATGAGTCGCTCTCTGCTTGAGAAGGTGGTGGATCCTTAACGCGTCTCCCTGTAGGTGTTTTTGTTGTAGACTTTAGTTGTGAGCACGTTTTGCTTTGTTTTGGTGGTGTGGTGGTGGTGGTGGCACTTGGCTAGTCCGCAGCCTGCTTTTTCCTGGAATTCAGTTTCCCTAACCGTACCGGCCCATTAGTTTCAGCTGTCATTTATACTGTTTTGTATTGTCCTCCGGACAAGCCAGGAATTGGAAGCACCTTTGAGATTCCAGGAAATGACTTCGTAAAATTACACACACACACACACACACACACACACACACACACACACACACGCTGTTCCTAATTTTACAGACTCTTAAATGTTTGAGGAATTGAAAGAGACGTTCAGCGGTCTGATAGAATATATGAATTTTAAGTCAACATCGCATTGGACCTCGGGGCATTCCCATGGGAGTCCAAACGTGGCGAAGAATGTAGGTTTAGTGTTGTCCCAGAACTTCTAGCCAATGCAATAAGACATGAAACAAAAATAAGAGATGTTTCAGAAAGAAGGCAAAATTCTCATTTCTGGGAATGACAGGACAGCCTGTTTGGAGGGGGGGGGGTAAAAGTTAAGGGAAAGCTATTGAATGAGTCCAGCAAGCAGATTAATAATTACAAAATCAGCCTACAAAATTAGCTTTTTTTTTTTTTGTTTCACTGATAATTAGTTTGAAAATACAGTAGTTAAGAGAACATATAACAACAACAACAAAAACTTTAATTCCTGAGAGTAAACCAAGGTGCAAAAGAAGGCTACTGTTTCTTGGATAACACCAGTTGAGGGTTTTTAGGAGGGATGTTTTTGTGTGTACGATAACTGTGCTTTTATGTAGCGTGATGTTCGACTTGTTAAAAATGAGTATTTGAATACTTATTTTTTTTCTTACGCTTTTAAGGTTTTCTCCCAAATCTTGTTTTACTTACAAATATAAGAATAGTTCTTTAAAAATAAAAATACTTGAGGGGATCCCTGGGTGGCGCAGCGATTTGGCGCCTGCCTTTGGCCCAGGGCGTGATCCTGGAGACCCGGGATCGAATCCCACATCGGGCTCTCGGTGCATGGAGCCTGCTTCTCCCTCTGCCTATGTCTCTGCCTTCTCTCTCTCTCTCTCTCTCTCTCTCTCTCTCTCTGTGACTATCATAAATAAAATTAAAAAAAAATACTTTACTCTTGAGAAAGCTTCAGTTAAGATACCAGCTTAAAAGATTACATTCCCCTAAACAATGAACTCTTTTTGCAGTGTTACGTACCCTTAAATGTTCTGTTTTATTTATTTATTTATCATTTTTTTTATTCATAGAGAGAGAGAGGGGCAGAGACACAGGCAGAGGGAGAAGCAGGCTCCATGCAGAGAGCCTGACATGGGACTGGATCCTGGGTCTCCAGGATCAGGCCCTGGGCTGCAGGCAGCGCTAAACCGCTGCGCCACCAGGGCTGCCCCCCTTAAATGTTTTAAACTGCATTTGAAGTTTTTTGTTTTTGCTTTTTTAAGTGGGCTCCATGCCCAGCGTGGAGCCCAATGTGAGGCTTGAATTCAAGACTCTGAGATCAAGACCTAAGCTAAGATGGAGTCAGATGTTTAGTGAGCCACCCATGCATTTAAAGTTTTATATGCTTGTTCTCTTAAATACCTCAAAATTCTTTTTTTTTTTTAAAGATTTTATTTATTTATTCATGATAGTCACACAGAGAGAGAGAGAGAGGGGCAGAGACACAGGCAGAGGGAGAAGCAGGCTCCATGCACCGGGAGCCCGATGTGGGATTTGATCCTAGGTCTCCAGGATCGTGCCCTGGGCCAAAGGCAGGCGCCAAACCGCTGCGCCACCCAGGGATCCCAATACTTCAAAATTCTAAAATGGTGAATTTATAAGCCTAATGGTAAAATCTTTCTAAAGACGTAACTCTTGTTAAGTCTGCTAGATGCAGAAATGAGATTTAAATGAACACTTTCAAACTTAGGTTTTCTTAAGCATTTCAAATTAAAAATATAAGTCTCATAGGTCAGTCCGATTTTCTTAAACTTTTCAAATAACTTAGTAACAAGTAGCAAGGAATTCTCATGATGATTATAAAATTTAATGCAAAACCTACCAAGTGTTGATATGTTATAGGTTTGATTTATGTTTATTCTCCAGTTCTCTTTCTAAAGTCACACAACTGAGAGAAGCAGTTATACCATCTAGGTGAACAAAGTTACAATGTCTAAAATTTGGACCATGGTAAGGTTACATTATAAAAATTACCGCTGAGGGGCACCTGGGTGGCACAATCAGTTAAGTGTCTGCCTTTGACTCCGGTCATGATCTCAGGGTCCTGGGATTGAGCCCTGCATTGGGCTCCCTGCTCAGCGGGGAACTTGCTTCTCCCTCTCCCGCAGCCTGACGCTCCCCCTGCTTATGCTTTTGGTCTCTCTCTCTCTTAAATGAATAAAATCTTAAAAAAAAAAAAAATTACTGCTGGGACAGAGACCTGTTTGTCCCTTCCAGGGTGAATTTTCTACATCCTGTTAACTTTGAGGTTCCCTTCCTTTGGTGAGAAATTGCCTGCTTGTGTCAGTGGGGGACCTTTAAACCTCCTCTTTCAGCTGTAAATGCAGCTGTAATTTATTTTCTCAACCCAGTGCATCATGAATGTCCTGGGGCCTTGAAAGCTTCTTTTAGGAGAATTTCTTTCCAGCATTTTAGTGCACGATGGTTTTTTGCACTACCAACCTGTTTTGCTGCTAATCACTTTGCTGCCTATTTAGAATTATTCTAATTCTTCATTTTTAGATATTTTACTCCCTGATCTTAGCAATCACAATTTTTGGTCATGGTAGAAGAAATGAATGTTACGTATATACAAGTAGAGATTCTTGTAAGTGGATATAAGTGATAGTATAAATCTTCCTGAATTAGTTGCTAATCATTCATTACTGTCAAAATACAGTGAGCTTTTTTGGGGGAACTTGTCAGCATGATTCTAAAATTGACCTGAAATAATAAACAGGCTGGAATAACTACTACTTTTAAAAGAAGAACAATAAAGATGAACTTTTGATTGAAGATATTAAAATACCATAAATTTTTTTCAAAACAGTATAGTATTGGTTAAAGAATGTCTAGATATACTAGATTAACACGTTGGATTTCAGTAAGAGATCTTAAATGCCTAATACATTACTATATAATATATGCCAAGTCAGCAGTGGAAAGAAAGGTTAGTGATTGATGCTGAGAAGAAGCCAAGTTAGAGAATTCAGTGTGAAACATTTCTTTTTTTTTTTTTTTGAAGATTTTTTTTTAAATTTTTTTTTTTAAATTTATTCATGAGAAACACACACACACAGAGAGAGAGAGAGAGAGAGAGGCAGAGACACAGGCAGAGGGAGAAGCAGATTCCATGCAAGGAGCCCGACGTGGGACTCGATCGTGGGACTCGATCCCGGGTCTCCAGGATCACGCCCAGGGCTGCAGGCGGTGCTAAACCGCTGCGCCACTGGGACTGCCCAGTGTGAAACATTTCTTTTATATCTCACTGTAATGAAAATTAAACAGTTAACAAAGTAGGAAAAAGTAGTTGTATGACAGCATTATATATCTGTAATATATCAAAATGTATAGATTTGTAAGAATAAATCAATTTTAAAAAGCTGCAGTTGTTTTCAACCATTCCCTTAATGCTGGAAATTGAGGTCGTTTTTATTATTTTTCCTGTATAAATAAGGATGCAGTGAATATTTTTTTTTTTACTATTATGGTAGAAAGTTCATACTAGAGCGTGAGTTTAAGAAAGTAGGATGTAAGATTATACCTGAAGTGTGCGCGTGCATGCGCGCACACACA